AAACTACTGCACATCACTAGATGGATTTAGGAAACTGAAGACAAGCTTCCATGATGTACCAAAAAGGAAGAGGTACAGTAAAGATGGCTGAGTAAAATACCTCTACAGACAAAACCTTCCACTTCAGTACTGAGGGAGAGACCAGACCTGACATACAACTCAATACTGGGACACCAGGCAAATCACAATCACAACTGAGACAAGCATTCATAAGTCTAGCACTAAGGCAAGAGGTGTATCTTCACAATAAAAATATGTCCAAAAGCAGCATAGCTGGGGCTGGGAGAAAAACAAAGCCATGAGCCAGTGTGACTCTACCCTGACAGGGCACTCACTACCAGCTCAGAACTAACTTTTCCAGCTTTTGTAATTCTTTAGGTCTGGTTTGCCAAGCTACAAAACCTAGCACCAGRGATTGAAACTTCCACACAGTTGTTTCAATTCTGAAGAATCCTGATTACCCTATGTAAGAATATTTACAGTTTTACATTAAAGAGTTTGCTACTACCATTCMTAGTTTTAGCAATATGCCTCTCAAATCTCTTCAGATTACATCATGACATCATCACTACAACACAGAATCACACTCAGAATGGTTCATTATATTAAAAATTCTAAGCAGTTTAATGGTAATTTCTCTTGTAAGAGTTTAGCAAATGTAAACCTTTCTCACATGACTCCATCTCTTTAGCAATTAATCAATTTACCAAAATATATCAGTTTTCCCTTTTATGCATAGCATAAAGGTAAGAGATAGAATTCCAGTTTCCTAGGATTTCAGAAATGGTACAGCTTCTGGTTTTATCAAATACACATTTATTCTTCAACTGCTTACGAAAAAGAAAATCTATCCTTGCATCTCTTTGATCACTCTTCCAACCATTCAATAATCCATCGTTAATTAAAACTTCATAGATTCTCCAGTCTAAAAGGGTTGAATTTATCACAGATTGTCATGAATCCTGGTTTTAAATTACCAAKAGTCCAACTGGTGAGAAGAATAGGAATCTTCTTTCCAATTAAGGTGACTAATTTAATGTAAAACGTTGCAACAACTCACTTTTTAACTAGGTATATCATTATAAAGTACAAAGAGGTTCATACTCATTTTCTACTCAGAGAATGAAATTCTGTGAAAATTAAGCATGTAGCAATATAGTGCCAGACTGAGTAACACTTCCAGCATACCTTTCCTACTACTAATACATCAGTATATGATCTTTTATTCCTGTTTCATTCCAAACATTTACTTGAAATTCAATAGGCTTAAGCTTTTTACATCCAAACATCCCTGGGTGCATGGAAAAAATATTAAGCCAGTTACCAGTTGAAAAGGGAGAAAATGGGATTAATTTAAACAGGAACTGGAACACATATGAAAATATAGAGCATCAGCTGCCACAAGGGCAGGTCTCCCCATACTGCTGTCTGTATGAATAATTTCTCTCTGCTAGATATGTTAGTTAAATATGAATATGGCAATCCAGACTTCTAACTCKTAATCTCTTCCTAGCTTACAGATGGCCGCTACCACACCAAGTTCATATTCTAGACAACTGACAGGAGTCTCTGGGACATGGTACCTTCCTGAAGGGCAGTTGGCACCTGGGCTAGAGGACTCCTCACTACACAGTGCAGAATGAGGGAGCATGCAACTTTTTCAGCAGCTTTCTCTTGTTACACCAGGTCCAGGAAAGACACTGACCAGGGACTTTGATACTACAAAGGAGCATGCTAACACCTGTTTGTGAAATCAACCATAAGAGCTAGGATTTGGGCATGACTGACTTGAAAAGGAATTGGAAGAATTTCTCATTGAAAAGAGCTTGTCTTAAAATTCCCTCTCTACATGGGCCAGCTCAGGTGAAACCAGCCTTTTATTTTTAACACCTTCTAAAGTCTCAGGAGTATTGATATCACACCAAGAAAAGTCCTGCTTCCAAACACTGGTAAGTACTGATGACAGAAAAAAAGACTGGGAGTCTCAGCAAACTGTTGGTGAGATTCCCCCTACCAATCTGATGTAGGCAATCAAGATTTCACTGTCCACCAGGGCTCAAAACCGCAAATACAGACAAATGGCTTGGAAGGGTAGAATCACTGCATGGATGAGTCTGAAACAAACCTCAAGTAACTAATTCATTCAGCATATGCTTCTATATTCCCAGCATTCCCATATGCCACTCACTTGATATTCAGTCAACCATTGTCTGCTCAATGCAGTCTTCACTCTGTTTTACTTTTACATGATTTTTGCCTTACTGGTTTAAAAAAATTGACAAGATGCTAGGTACAATTCAGAGGCAGCAAGAGGTTCCCTGTTGGGCTCATGAATCAGCTGCACAAATCAGTGCAAGTTTTTTTGTAAACACACACAAAAGCATGCTTAATAAGAGAGTGCAAGGCTAAAATAAAACAAAAAGGTTGACTAGTTTTTGGAACCAGAATACTGTTGAAAAGCAAGTACACAAAATTCAGCAGAAACACACTGGTACTTCACTTTATGACATGATTAAATTTTATTTTTTTCACATAATTTACTTACTTTAAGTTACACAAAGTTGACAAAAATCTCAAAACAGTAGTCTTAAAATGACTTTTCAAACAGGAATGTAGCTCAACCCTAGCACATTCCACTGACTTGCTGTGAGGTTCAATCAAGCACATTATTATAATTAATAAATTGTTACCACTGTAGTGATGTTACATAAAAATCAGAAAAAATAAAAAAAATCCCCATTCAGTGCCAAAGAGTTTAGACTGAAACCAGCTGTAGTGATGCTAAACACGCTGACAGCAGCAGATAGCTTCTACACAAGTTAAAATAAGAGATTAGGGTCAATATATGGGCATTGGCATAAAGTCACAAGCTGAGAAAGAAAAGTAACTCAAGAGTTCTATTACAGGAGATCTTCTGAAGATCGTTGATACTCTGGGCTAGAGAGGTAACTGTGAGTATGCAAAGTTTGCAATAAGCTAGAAGAACAAAGAGARAAAGTGGAGCCAAAAGTGCGCTGTAGTGTCAGGAAAAGGCAGAGAAGTCAAGATTATTATTTACTACAGTTGGTCAAAGGCCAACATATAAAAGGCTACAGAAATGAAACAATGAAAAGGTAGAAAAAATACTGGAGCAAGTAGAGAGGGAAAACACATAAGAATCACCAGACAAAGAAGTCTACTGCACTTTGGGCTAGAAGTCATGAGGAGAAAGTCACAGGCCCATTGAGTGGAATACAGAAATCCAGTCTAGCAGAAGGATAGCAAATTAAAACCAAATTTTTGGCAGCAGCAAATATGCATGCTCCAAAATAACAATGTAACATTAATAATCCAGGAGTTTAATATACAAAATGCATAGAGAAATGAAACACCTCTTAAAAATTGATTTAATCAGACTCATGAATCTTAGTTTTAAACTAATATATGATAATGGCAAGAAAGGCACGGTTCTGTAGACTTTAACCATAGTTACTTGCAAAGGTTATGACAGCTGCAGTCTGAAGGCAGGGTCCTCAAGTTAGGAACACGGATGTTAACTTCTAAATAGTCCTCTTGGAGTATACCCTATAAACCCATGAGATGTCCTTAGAGACCATGTTAGTTYAGCTTCATTGTACAGTCACAGAGTATTTGTAAAGCACTTCAGAGAGTTTATGACAAACTTTGCTTTCTGAAGTTTACTAAAAAGAAGGCATTGCTGAAGTCACTTGTGACCAGAAGCAAGAAATAGACTCAATGCTATTTATGTTTAACTACACAATGTTTCAAATTTTGCAACCAATCATGATCAGTCTGGGGATCCTAAGCTTCAGCAAAGCCAAAGCTGCCACATCATTGCATTGTAGGTTTAAACCTGTTTTTCTTCTTTATCTGAGTCACGTCACCAAAAATGTCATGGTTTGAATTGGGCCAAAAGCACCCAATGACGTTTCCTATCCCCAACCCCACCGGAGAGGCAGAAGGGAGAGCAAAAGCCCAAATAACACTAAAATTTATGGCCTTTAGATAACATAACATAATTGAGAGAAAGTTAAGTATATGCTCCAGAAAACGATCAGACAGTTCTTAAAATAACTTGAAATAACTTAAACTGCAAAATAGATTTATTATTTAAAGCTACTAAGAATAYTACAGCACCGGGGAGGAGAACAAAGAGGGAAAAATTTACAAGGAGAAGAAAATAAAAAAGGGACATTTTAAGACACTTGTTATTCCTTCTGGGAACCTGACTCTCTTCCAAGYTGCCCCTCTCAATCCCCCCATGCCTTCCCACACACACAGAGGGGCAGGGATGAAAGTTTAACATAGCTCAAACTACTCGTTATGGTTATCGTCCAGCATCATAGGAGAAGTGCTCTTAGAGCTCTAAGCTGTGCAAGGTCTTTTCCCAAGAAACAGTCAGTGTATAACTGCTGATGGCAAGGGATTATTTTCTTTACCTCGTGGGAGAAAGCAAAAACAGTTCTCCAAGGCCAMCTGCATTGTTATGGTGGTGTAAGGCCACTATCACAAATCTCCTGGCAGAACACAGCTTCTTCTAAGCATCCACTTGCTTCAGATGTGCAGCGAGGGCACCTCTTATCCCCCGCAGAACACAATTTCTTCTTAGCATCATCTTGCTTCAGATGTGAGGGGGTCCAAGCCTCTTCCCCCTTTTTGGCTTCTGATCAGTCCAGTCCTCAAAGGCCAGGTTTTTCTCAGAGTAAGGTYGCTCTCCTTTTCTATATACGTCTTCCCTTGAAGAAATAGTCCTCTCAAGAACAGCTTCTTTTCTCCATGTTTGACCACCACAGCAACAGCACCTGCCTTCTTCTTACTGTGATCTTGGGTCTCCATTTTTTTCTTACATCTCCTCATCCTCCTGCTCTGTTTTTCCCCAGTGCAYGATACTAAAACTAAATACTAACAGCCTAAAAACTAAATGGTGGCTGCCTTCTCTCTTGTTTTGCATTCTTCTTAAGTACAAGACCATACGTCATCACAGAGGTRTAACTAGCCTGCGCAATTGGCCCARGCCTGACCAGCAGCCTGTCCATCAACCTCAGAGCCATAATGGATTGGTTCTAAAACACAGGGGATAGGGCTCCTTTTGCTGGAGAAGAATGAGAAAGCTTCTAGAATTTCCTCACAGGAGCCATCTTTGTGGTTTTTTGGTCCCATCCCCCCATCACCAAAAATCGGACTGAGTGAAACCAGGACAGAGACCATGTTAGTTTAGCTTCATTGTACAGTTCACCGAGTATTTGTAAAGCACTTCAGAGAGTTTATGACAAACTTTGCTTTCTGAAGTTTACTAAAAAGAAGGCATTGCTGAAGTCACTTGTGACTAGAAGTAAGAAACAGACTCAGATCCATAGCACCTTACAACGCTATTAAYGTTTAACTACACATTGAGAATACTRTTTTCAAATTTTGCAACCAATCATGATCAATCTGGGGATCCTAAGCTTCAGCAAAGCCAAAGCTKCCACATCATTGCAAAACCGGGCCTCAATACCATACAGTTAACTAAAATTGCTACAGGAACTAAAAGAAAATAGGACTTGTGCGCTACAGCTGCGTAGTATCACCATAATGTTAAAACCCTTTAGCTTTGATTTCATAGATGTGCACCATGGGTCTAATCCATGGGCATTTATGACTGATGCATCTGCATGAAGCTTTTCATGAAYGCTGCAAGCTTCTGAACATCTTCTACAGTCACCGCATTATATAAAGAGGCACGGATTCCTCCCACAGACCTGAATTGAAAAGAGAAGACAAAAAAAAACCAGAAAAGTTTTGTATATTCTAAACCAGATAATAATAGCTGTCATAGACACTTAAATGTATTCCTACTCTAAAAAGATAACATTCACATTTATGCATATGAGAAGCAATATATAACCCTTAAAGGCATGCTTGCAATCTAGAGAAGCTTTGGGTTTTTTAGTTATTTACAGCTCCAAAGCTGTATCCCCATGACATCAAAAAACTAATCCCATGAACACTACTGAACAGGGGAAAGAACTCTTGCAACCAGGTAGACAAGACACTGAGAGGCTTTATAYACTGATACAATCTGACCTTAAGAGGCATCTTCTTTGGCATCTGCACAGAGACAGAGTTGCACAAGAAAGCAGAGTTAAGAATAAAGCTCTCTGAAGCCCATCACGTCACCTAGTTGAGCCACCAGCAATCTCTGATTACAAACTCTAGACTGCTATTCTCAAGTGATGCCAAACCAATATGATAAACATCTTATGCATGAGAAAGTCAATGCACAATCCCTGAAGCTGTACCACTGTAGTAATAGTAACAGTTYGGCAAAGGCCAGAAATTCATTTGACGAATACTTACCGATGTCCTTTCAGAGATATCATGTTAAGTTCCGCAGCCTTCTCAAGAAATTTCTTTTCCAGGGCTTCATCRCCCTTGATGCTGCCAATGCGGAAAGGGACATTCATTCTGCTTCGGCTCTTTCTCTCCACTGGACATCTAGAGAGGTTGCAGAATGTAATGCTTAACCCACTTCATGCTGAATTTGTATTGTCAGCTATATCCAGTTTAAGAAATTGAATAATCACATCTGTTTAGAACCAAAGTCAATCCTTCATCATTTCATCTTTCTGTGAAAGAAAGCAATCTTCCTTTTTTAACCAAGAATAATGATGGAAGTGGAAGACTTAGTAATCCKTCCTGATATATACAAAATTATGCCGGAGAAATGGACAACACACTTGCATACAGGCCAAATTAAAGAAAGAAAATTAAATAAATTAAATAAAGAAAACAGTTACTTTGAACAGGTGAGTTAATTACAGGGAATTTTGTTTAAGTCTAAAGCAGTTTCTGACACTTCTCAGCTAGTCAAAGGTGCTACCAGAATTCCACTCAACTAAAGAGAACTAAAGGAAGTATAAGAACAAAGCATAAAATTGTCATGGAGATTAGAAACTTCTGTTAGTGATTTCAGTCCATCTTCTAAATTAGTATTACTCAGAATCATGAAGTAGAGAAGAGGTATTGCTAGAACAACTCTGCATCACATACATGGCCACATTAGATGAGWTGCATCACAGCTCTCTAATACCTGAAAGTGCCATTTAATCTGAAGTGGAAAACTCAAGATACATGTAATTTCTCTGAAGTTATTTTGTGAAGGTAAGAAATGCTGGGGAAGAATAGAAGATTTAAATATCTTTTTTTTTTGTGTTACTGCTTATAAAGAAGATAYGAACCCTGCAGATTTATTTTTTTTCCTAAGGCTGTAGATTCTTGCAGGCATTCAATACAAGTAAGTTTTCATAAACTGCATGTAAATTTCATACCTATTACTACACTATTTGGGAAAGAATGGGTTTTTAGTTCTCCTCTTGCTCCTTCCTSCAGATGTCTCCATGAGGAAAAAAGATCCATCGTAACATCTGCCAATGCAAATTTTCCCCTTCAGGTTCAACCAAATAATGTTCAAAAAGGTCTATGATTCTAAGGACTCCCATTTATGAATTACTGCAGCCATGTTATGAATTACTGCAGCCATGTTATAATATTTAGATTATTCAGTTGCTGCTGGGCAATCTGATTTAACTCAGTGCACAGACGTCGGAAAACAAACTGCAAATGGCAAAGAGTGCTTTGTGGAAGAAAGACTCCATTTGCTAAATGGCTTGTCACATGATTTAGTCAGGGAAGCATGTCACAGATTAAGCTGGAAAGGCAGCTTCAAATTATGTCTTCCTTTTAGTTATAGATACAATTAAAAAATTCACAGTCTTAATTGTACTGCTGAGGAAGCTGCAAACAGCTCAGTTAGTGAAGCTTGTTCTGCTTTCCCARCTGACTATTTACCATACTATTTGCATTACATTTCCCTCTCACTGCCTTACAGACCAACTTGCCAGAAACAGATTTCTATTTGTCACAAAAAAAATGGTTTTTTCAAGGCTTCATTTGGTTTCTGACGTTTATGAAAAACCCTCAGGATTTCCCTGGAGTAGGATCACAATCCTGATCAGGGTGATGCTAAAGGCAAAGCTGTTCTCATTAACTAAATAGATAAGCAGGATGTATTTAATATTATGATGAAACTTTATCCCTGCCAATTACAATTGCAGACAGCTTAAATTTAAAATCCAAATTTAATTTGCCCTCACTTTTGACATGAAAGTTAATTAGGTCCCCACACTGTTGCTTTTAAACTGAAGGTGAAGGAAAATAGTTTGTAGTTTCATGGTCAATTACTAATTTGAGCTTGGCAAATATTAAAATTATTACAGTATCCRCTTTTAACCATACCTAGGTCCTGTGAGCTCAAAAACATCTTGGAACTCTATGAAAAAGTCAGGGGATTAGATCTGTTTTGGAAAGCCATCAAAAATAACTGAAGAAAATAAATTGTGCATAAACTACATAAAGAAAATGTATTCCGTTTTGMGGTCTGATCTTCCTGTTTTATGTCAGAAAGTGTTTCAGAATTTAGCCTAATTAGCTAAWAAAAATGCTCTGCTTGACACAGAAAAAGTAACTTTGACTTCTGGAACAGTTGGTAGGAAAAAACCAATGCAAAGTGGTCTCTACAATTTCTTACAGGCAATTTTRTCTCATTTGGCTATATTTGCCCAAGAGATGCAGTAAGCCTACAAACAGAGTATGGATGTGTTTTTTGTATATTCTTCTCCTAGGATCTTGTTTTATTAAGTTTAGAATATGTTTTTAGTTGGCTTCACTACTGATCTACATAAGATAAGTCRAAACAACCTCCTAGTGGAATGAGACTTATCCTTGGACAGTTACCAAGTGAACGGTTTGCATAAATATTAACTACAGGAGTCCTCAAACAAAGGTGACTTCAAAAATACACGGCAATTAAACTCTTGAAAGTTATGAATGTTAGATTAAGTAGCAAATACTGAAGCCAATAGGAAAAGCATATCAACTTACGCATAAAATCCATTAGACTTGTCTATAATATCATAAATCATCCGCGATTTGATTAAACTATGTTTATCCATAGCTGCAGCACCACCATTATTCTTTATCCATTCCAGTACCAATCCCATGATATAAATACTGCAAAAAGAAAGAACATTTTTCAGWGAAATTATTCAAACAGGAAAAACTTAAGTCTTGTCTAAGAGTTCACAAAATGTTTCAGCAACAAAATGCTATTTTTAAGGACACTTAACCTTAACAAATCCATACCAAGACTATTTTACAAGTTACAACAACTCTACACAGACAGTATTTTCTGGACACAGATGAAACATCCTGAAATTCAAATGCCACACAAATCTGTTTCACCCAGTTTAATCCTTTGTACCACAGAAGGACATGTGCTGCAGGCTTCCTGCAGCCCTGCATCCCAAAGGCATCCCCAGACAAGCTACATGGATTGCCAATTCATTGCCTACACAACTGCCTGTCAGGTCCTGTGTAGAAAGACTACACAACTGCCTAGAAAAGGCCATGTTTAGCAAAAAAGTTAATAGCATTTACCCTGTGCAGCTGCTTTAACAAAAATACAGGAGTAGATTTCAAACATATGTACATTAATGCCAGAAATCTAACCATGATTTCACAAATGTTAAAAATAACAACTCTAATCCCATTTCTGTCTAAAAAGACCTTTCGCCCATATGAACAATGAAGTTCAGCAAAACAAATAATCATGTATCACACTTAATTATTCGTTACCAGTCAAGTTCTGAGTAGAGATCTGGAAGCCTACTGGCACCCATGGCTTAGGACCAAGAATTTCAACACTAGTTACCAAGTGCAACATAAAAAAAAAACCCTTGAGGCCTTTTGCCTTTGTGCTTTTGCTACAAAACTCAGCTTGTTCAAGTTCAGACATTTCCCACGACTACAACAATTTACATAAAAACCTGCTCACAAGTTCTTATGGCCTATTTCCAACAAGTTCGTTCTTATGAATTCCTTCATTACTGATTCCAAGGGAGTGCTCAGAGAACATTACCTTACAAGTTTCCCTAACACATATCTAGCAGAACGCTGTTTTAAATTTTGCTACTTTTTATTTCTAACGGGATGCCAGTACCAAATCTTTGAACATTTCAGAAACGCTGAAGAATAACCAAGGCTACAGACTGCCTTTTATAGGAAGTCCCTTACAGCTCTGAGCCTAATCTTGTCACATTTATGACAGCACACTGTCAACTACTCCAGTGGAAAGGATTTAACTGAAGTATAGACTACATGCTTGCCAAATGTACGGGGCCACATTCATCTCTTGTCCTCACGTCCTTGAGCAAAACTTTTTGGACAAGTGAACTCTAAGAAGTCCGCCTTAGAGCCATTCACATGCAGCCCAGAACATGCTGAAACCTTTTATTTTTCTTTTATGTCAGTCAAAATAATGTTTCTGGAACAATTTTAAATGCAAAATGCATTTTAGAGCCTGGAAATGAGATTTTTATAGCAAATTCATTGTTAATTTTAGCTAAACAGATTAGGGTCAAAGAGTTAACTATGTAGTGCCATGAAGTTGAAGCCACTAGCATCACCCTAATTTAATTTAACATCCTTCTGAAGTAGCTTTTGCAAATTTAGTTAATATTTCCTGCCTGTCTGCCAGCAAATCATTAGCAAGTGCAAGGAAAAGAGCAGAGAAAAAAGAACTAAGAATCTTTGCCAGTTCCTTAAACTGGAACAGGCAGTTAGAGCCAAGCCAAACAGATGCGCCAACATTTCAGTCTGTTACATTCTGAATTCTGGACTGTACTCCAATGTGGGTTATAGCATGAAGTGAAATCTGTCAAGACAGTGATGAGAAAGGAGAAAGACTGTTAGATCATCTTTATTTTCAGTTCCCTTAAACTCCCACTACCCTGTTAACTCCCACTACCCTGAGCTACCACTAAAGTAGCGCTTTCTTTCCAGAAGTTCTTTGCGCATGACTAAAAGAAGGCTGCAGAATTTGATTTGTTTTACTTTTCAAATCAAGAGGAACAACACTGTGTTCAAGTGCTGAGATTAAGTAGCACTTCAGTTTTTCAAATGGAAATAGCTTTGTACTTGGAAAACATGAATGGCTGCATTTAAAACCTGGCATATTCAACTATACAGTGTCCAAAAACAGTATGTACGACTTGGCAATCAGGCAAATAATCGATCATGAAATAGAGGTTTCAAGAACTGGTAAACAAAGACATACATACTGCCCATGTTACCCAAAATCTGGAAACATTGTATAGTCAATTCTTAGCAGCAGTGCTAAGGATATTGGGTGTAGCCAACAGGGCAGACAGGATGCCAATAAGAACACCTCATTACAACACTACATGCTGTACAGTGTGCACACAACTCAGGGAAACGAGTTCTGCAGTGTAAAATCTGGCATAAACAAATGTTCACAAGATTTACTGTTCTTTTGATAAAAATAGCTGCTCCTATGTCACTGCAATAGTACACTCTGCAGTGACAATCAGCATATTCAGAAATACATGAATTCAGTAAAATCTGAAGTCATATTAGTATTAAATTATAGGGCTTATATATAGGAATCACTGAACTTTATGCCTATTGAATGCATTTAATATCTGTCCGAGATCATTAGGCAACCTAACTTTAAAATTTTGGACCATATAAACAAGCTATAAAAGCTGAGACTAAATATCAGTTTAAAATTGCATTATGAAATTATCTGAATCAAAAGAAAATTTTTATTTTCAAAGTAGTTTTAAAAGCTTCTGGGAAAGAAAAGATACCTGGAATTAAGATTTTTTTTTTTAAATAGTCATTACAGAGGACATAGGTGAAAAAACTTTTCAGGTTAAGAATGGGCTCTATTGGCTCACCATCTAAACATTCTAGTACCAAAGCACCATTTCACCAGTTATCAGAAATGAGGAGATAGCAATTTTAAACAAGCCTGCTCTGCTTCTTGCATAATAAATCAACAAGTACATAGCAATTTTATAATTTTGACTGCTAGCAATGATTATAAAGCTAAATCAATTTTATCTTTGGATGCCAAATCAAACTGAGATGGCAGTCAAAGAATTATGCAAAACTGTACTGGAGAATAAGGCAAAGTAACTACAACAATACTTTTTAAAAAATTCTTCTACAGTTTCATTTCAAAACTGACAGTGGTGAAGGATGTAGCAAGAACAAGAAATATCTCAAAAGTTTAAAAGACTACATAGTCTTGTAATATATTATTTTAAACTTCAATAAGAACAATATTTACCATTTTCCAGTAAATAAAGCCAATGAGTATCTGGAGGTTCAAATGCTGAGAACAACCTCAGGAAGAAATTAAATCAAACTGTACTTAGTGATCAAGAAGTCTAAATGCCAAATTACCTCCTTCAATGAGAGAAGCATCACCTGACTGACTAGAGCAYGCTCATGTAAATCAGAACGGATCCTGCAATTTCTATACTGGAGTTACTRTTATAAAAAATACAATAAAATAAAAATAAAATAAAATAATATTTACTTTGAAAAAGACTACATCCTTTATGCCTGAGGCGCAATAGGTAACGCAAGGCCTCSTACACTCACATGCCTGGACACTCGCAACGTCTTCACAGGAATCATGTGAAATGCTCCAACGTATCAGTGACTTGAAGGCAAAAATGCAACTTCGGAAGCTTTTCTAGATAAAAGCAGCAGATGGCAGTGCAGCTGCTTTCTGAATAAAAGGTATCACAGAGCAGGGTGAGTTACCTGTAGCATGGTGGAGTGTTATACAAAGAGTTATTTGCTGCTTGTGTTTTGTAATCCAGTACAATAGGGCACTCCTTCATTGCAAATCCCAGCAGGTCCTCACGTACTATTACAACAGTAACTCCAGCGCAGCCAACATTCTTCTGAGCACCAGCGAAAATCACACCAAACTTTAAAAGGAAAAAGAAAAAAGCCTGGTATATGCATTCACTTGCAGACCTTATATCTAATAACCCAGTATGGTTATATAACAGGCATACTAGTAAGCTGAACAAAATAGAGAATTTGTTGAAAATCAACAAGTTGTAGGTTAAAAGAAGAGTTAGGAGAAGTTCTGATTTCAAAGCACACTTACAGCTACTCAGCTGAGGAAGATAATCACAACAAATGTCACAATCATTTGCTAAATGATTATTTAATAGCCGCAAGTAATTCTCAAGGCAGCCTGTTCTAATTTCACACTACTTCAAGCAAATTTACTAAAAACAAATTCCTACACAGTTCGCAGTATTTTCAACCCATCTGGTATTTCACAACAATCATCATAAAATCCACCAGTTCAGAGGCAGATCAGGAAAGGCCAAATTGCATGCAATAACAATCACTCTTTTTTGCTACATACAGGTAAGAGAGGTCAAATGTGCTACTTCACCAGTCAGTAACATTTCTACTCGTAGAATTTACCAACGTATGTTCTGCCTCTGTACCATCTATGAAACAGACACCATAACTGTGAGGCAAAGGATGTTTTAGGAGCTTAAAAGAGTTTACAGATTTTTCATGTAAGAGGCAGGATTAAAAACACTGATTCACAATACCTTGCTGTAGCCATACAGTATCTACAGACTAAATATGACTTAGAAGATTTTTTTTCGGCTGTTATTTTCTTTCAGCAAGTATTTTACCCATCAGGAAAGATCACACAGAACTAAAATACTTTTGGGGAGTTATTAACATGATCAACTTCAACATAATTAAGTATACTTTTATGAAGAAAAGGAAAACAAATAGACATTGAAATCTCAAGCCTGAAATCTCAACACTTCTATCAATCCTCAGATACTCAATTAACAAAACATGACTTCTTTAATTTCACTGCTCAGTATCTCTGGCCATCCAGACATTTGAAAGTGCTTAATTCTAAGAATTGAAGTTTAAAAACACTTTGTGCGGTCACCGTGTCAAATTTTTTACCTTGGAAACATCCACAGGTTTGGACAGGAAGTTTGATGACATATCACAAACCAAGACTGCTCCTTTGACATCAGGTACAAAGTCAAACTCCACACCATGAACAGTTTCATTAGCACAATAATACACGTAAGATGCATTTGGATTAAGATTCCAAGTGCTTGGGTCAGGAATGCCTGAAAGACAAAAAAGAAACTCAGAGGTCACTGGAGACAAGTGATTTTCTTGGCATGCAGTTTTATCTGAACATGAAACTTAAATACAAACCAAGAGTAATTCTGCCACATAGACTATTAATCATGTTTAGCATAGCATAATACATCTGCATAGCAAATACACCAGCGCATTCCCAAAACAATCTGGTGAGCCATCATTAAGTCTGCAAAACCTTTTGATCTTCACCCCTTATTTCTCAAATTATTTTCATCAAGTTTGCAATTCCAAACTACAAACTACTGCCCTAAGGGTCCAAACCAGCATTTCAGAGGAATTCAGGCACTGGGTCCAAGAATCTTCCTGCTGCCTTTGGAACCATGTGAACCATCCAAATTCTCACTAGCAAAGCTCTCTAAAGCTGTGTTTCTGTTCAATCCCACATGCATTTCAATCTTGCCCAAGCTGAACAAACACAAAGTTGCCTACCTTCCTCCCATCTAAAGCTTTGCAACTCATTTACAAAAGTAAGATTTCCTCTGTCAACAAGCAATACACAGGGCATGTCCTGACAGCACAGAACGGGTTTGGCATAGAACAAATAGTTGCTCTTCCTTTCTTTTCTCCTCCAGAACCCAATGGGAGRTGAAGGTGGGGGTGGGAGATAATGCTATTGCTCCCATCATTATTTACTGCCTCTCCTCTTGTCCACATCTACAAAACGCTGAATACACTCCTCCAGACTGGAAAGTTGTAGGTCCAACTCCTAACTTATAAGGGAGTATTATTTGTCTTTCTTGTTGCCACTTTTTAGTTCAAATGTTGTAATTTTGATCAGAGGAAAGAACAGTGAGCAAAACTAGCAGGAATAGAAGAAATGAGATCTCATATATTCCTGCTCCAGGAATATAATCAGTGACACATTGGCGGAAAAGGTAAATATTCAGGAATCCCTGAAAGCAGGCAACAGAATTCAATTCTCCCATGTCCTGAGTCAAGAAAGTTAAAATCCCAGGCCTGTTTCTAAAATCTAGAGCAATCTCATTACCTAGTGTACATTAAATTGAAATACCTCACAGTATTCCTCTAAATAGCTTAAGATTAAATACTAAGTAAATACTTTAATGAATACTAAAATAAAAATACTAAATAAATATGGATAAATACTAAAAAAACAAATTAAAAAAATTGAGAGAGAGCTCAGACAATTTCCCTACTTAAGATACTTCTTGCCACTTATTTTCCAGGATCTGCTCAGACCCATTTCACAATTTTTTTCTGATGGAGACTGTTAAACCATTCAACAGATAAAGCAGTGGTGAACAAGGAGACAGGTCACAGACACTCTTTTGAGTGCTAGGCAGCCAACTCTGGTTAACATTCAACAGCTAAACAGCTACATTGGATCCATTTTTAGAGCAAGGCAAAAAGCTAGGCATTCACATGGATGGATGCAAGCGTCAACTTACTTGTATAGGTTGCAAGTTTGGGATTAACGATATTCACTTTGCCATACTTCTCTGCTTCTTTAGCTGCTTTTGCTGACCAGCCTCCAGTAACAATATAATCTGCCTGTCTTCCCTCCTTTAAACCAATAAGGTTAAGTGGGACTGCACTGAACTGACCAGATCCACCTCCTTGAAGGAAAAGAACTTTGTAGTTGTCTGGTATATTTCTGCATAAAAGAAATACCATTTATATTATTCCCAGAAGACACAGGATGCAAGCTACTTGATATTATGCATTTAACAGTGACTGAGGAAGAATACTGTCATTTTAGAAGACTCTTTCCAAGTGCTTAGATCAGGTCCCACTAATTCACCCCATCACTGGTCTTGAGAAACAATTTAAATATTTAAGAGTAAATGCTACAAATTTAGTGATAATAATTTGCTGAAAAGAAGCTTTCCCTCCCCAACCCAGGCACTGCATTAAACAAACTCACTCCTGAGTAGCTGTACATACAAACTTGAGAGACATTCCATCACAATTAATGCGGCCTTTTAACTTGATCTATTGCTAGCCTCATGGCTTTTCTGTCAGGCTAAGAACATCACATCTAAATTCTTACAGCAGCACTCAGCTTTGAGACCCTGGAGTTTGAAAGTGCAACAGTACAGTAAACTATACATGCAGAGCAAGTGCAATAAAGAGTTGCTCATACAGTCACAAAAATTACTCATTTGAATTATTAATTAAAATTCCTTTGTCAATTATTCTGGCTGTGACTGAAGGTCACGTTTGTGTTTAAGGACCAATATTTTCAAGTATTGCAAGAGCAATAAATATACAATGAGTTGGAATTATTTCAATTTTTTTAAGATGTACCATTCTACAAATATGAAAAGTGCTCTTGATCAGTGATTTTGACACATAACCACAGAATTTGTGTTAATAAAATCAGACTTATGAGCAATGTGCACATCACATCACTAAAAAACTGATTTTTGTTGTTTTCACTCATTTGTTTAAGTTCAAGCCTTCATGAATTCTATGAAAGTGACAAAAATCAAAATTTCAAAACACAGCTAGACGTATAAAAAAAATTACCAAGTAAGAACCCTTTGTCACATTCAAAGATATAAGCATCAAACAGCAGATCAGTGTCCTCCTCAAGATTATTACTATACGTACAGAGTACTCATGCATAAAAACACCACCAAATAGATGATTTCAAGGAAAGATCTCCACATAAGACATTATTGATAAAACTAGCACAAGCATAGAATAAAAATTAGCAGAAACTAATTTACTTACAGCAATTCACGCATGAGATTTTCAGTTGTATTTAAAATTTTTGTGAAATCTGAGGAACGATGGCTCATTTCTTAGGTGGAATAGAGAGAAGACATAACATTAAACAAGATTGTAACACATGAGTTTGATTTCAAAATTATGTTAAGCTTCAAAACATCTACAGTACAGACCCAAAATGCCTGAAGATTGTCATTCCCAGTTCCCACACCTCTTCAAGTACATAAATACCCCTAAATACTCACAGAAGACTTATACCTACACTCTTGTCCACACACAAGCAAATCCTGCTCACTGACATTTGGCACTTACTATGACCTTACTATCCCCAGGAACAACCACATTTGCAGGTAAAAAAATTACTCATTAGAAAGGTTTAATTTTTCCTCACACTAAGAATTTCTCTGCTCCTAATGTTGTCATTAGTGTATAATACAGGACAAGTATATAGTAAAGTTTGTTTTGTTCTCTTATCTTTAGCAAGGCTTTTCACACAGTAATGCTAATTAAATGTTAAGAACACTTACACAGTAATTCCTTTTAAATCCACAGGCTGTCTTCCATGTTTAAGTGTAAAATCTAAACAATAATCTAAATTATGCAGAGACACCTGCACATTCTACTTTTAGCAACTAAACAGTTTCATAAGTAATAAAATGCTCACCATCTTGCTGAACAATATTTTGTGCAACTGGGACTGAAAAGCCAGTCAGCTACCCACATGGCATAGATGAAACTTCTTCCTTTTGSCAGGACAGCACTGCCTTCCTAATGGGAAGGATGCTATATATCTATATAACAACAATACCCATCTGTACAGATACACAGGTATTAGAAACTGAGCCAAAATACCAAGATCAGAAGGTCTTATAAAACAATTCAGTTAAACATGGAAATGATGAAAACCAGAATTTTTAAAGTCTTACCAAGAACACTTATACCAAGTCCTTTGTAGTCCACCAATTCTTTCTGTGCTTCTAATAATACCTAACAGAAGAATAAAATCAAGAAATAAATTAAGGAAATTTTCCTCTATCTGGAGCCTCTGATGCATCACGCCTATGCCAGCGGTTCCATATTGCACTAACCTGACACCTTGTCAAGTGACATTAACAGATGTGTAGTCACCAACATAATTTTGTAGTACCTAGAAGCTTAAGGCTTTTCATAAGACAGCAAACTTAATTCATACGCTTCTTGTAGAGACCATGTCTTAAGTTATTTCAAATGTTACATTTCCAGATTTCAGAACAATTTCTAGGGGTGGAAGGGAACTCTTAACYTTTACAGAACATCTGATTATGTATACGTACTCTTTCTAAGCAAGCATCCTAAATACCCATTCCCACCACTCCACCCTGTGCCCTTTCACTTGATTTGTGCAAATACAACCAAAATACTGAAGAAAACATCAGGAAAAAAAATCAGCTTGGGGAATTGGATACCTTAAACTGAGCCAACAGAACATGACTGGTTTCACAGAATGAAGTTCCACATTTTGTGAAGATAAGCCGAGAGTTATCAAAAGTTAAAAAGAAACTAAGCAAAATTTTGAGACAACCAAAAAAACCAGTTCACTAGGACCCTAGCCAAMTAGTACTTCAGCCATCCACGTCTTTCCGCCTTCTCCCATAGCTCCTGAATATCAACAGAGTAAATGAGATTCTAGCCACTGGATCTGCAGCTTCTGATTTCAGCAAATTCTTGTCGGAGAGCCAGCACTCTTGGCTGCTCCTAAAGGAATCAGAAGAAGAGGAAGCCCCAGTAGAACAGCCACCAAAACAAATGCTGCATGCAGGCACCCCAGGATCTGACAAGAAACTGCACACTCTGGGCAATTTCAGCAATAAGAAAACTACCTTGCTGTAGGATATTTGCATGGTCTGTCAACTGTAACARCTGGTCACCAAAAGGTCAACCGAAAGATTGTGAAGTTTTAACCACCACATTTTACAAGCAAACTTCTCCACACCAGAGGAGGGGAAAAAGGGAAGGGGAAAGAACAGACTAATTATTAGAATAGTGCTTGATAAAATCCAGTTCTGTTAGTAAGATTCTTCATCTGAAAATATGCACATGCCTGACAGAAGACATCGACAACGCCCCTTATAATATATGAATTGCTCCATCTTCTTCCTTCACCAGGTCTGAGTGCGTTACAGGCAGCACTAGCCCACAATCAAGAGAAACAATCGAGTAGTCTACACAAGAGTGCTGCATTTTCAAGAGGGGAAAACAGATCAATAATGAGTACAGCTATGTTCATCTGCACTCCYCAAACCCCAAATCCAGTTTTTTGAAAGTCTCTGTCAAAGAGCAGTGTACTGAAACAGAGCCTGTGAGAGCCCCTTTTGGAATCAAGGGCTCAMGACAGAACATGAAATTTCTTTGCAACCTTATCTACAAAGAACATTTCCTCAAGAAAAGAGATGCGAGGGGAAAGAAACCCAGGCAAATAAACAAGAAATCTGCTATGCATCAAATATTTTACCTAAAGAAACTTTTAAAATAAGTCACATAAAATAACTGAGAGTACTATGAAGGRGTCTAAGAAAAGAACAGAAAAGATTTCCACGGTACATAACCCACACACTGAAAGTCAAGTATGTACAATTCGGCAGAAACCACCCCCTCTCCATATAACTGGATAATCCATGGCTGCTGATGCAACTTTCCAGAGGGTTGAGTGTATACCACATACACTATAACTTCTTAAAAAAATACATGTCAGGGAATTACCATGCTATTTATCAGCTGATAAATCTCATACTCCACACAGCTATCCTTGCGCACTTAAGTCCCATCCCAAAACTAACGACATAACCGTTGGTGCCATATCATCCAGCATGGAAAAAAAATCCAAAACCCTAGAGAACAATCCAAGAACCACACTGAAGCTCTCTTCCAAAAATCCGAGTTTAGCAGGGCAGTTCGTAGGGTGGGGAAAGTTAGAAGACACGAAGTTTCGGAACTGTGGGGGTAAACTCCTTTAATAACTATTTGCTAGCGCTTCCCCAACCCTCCTTGCTTTTTGCAGCCGGAATCCCGCAGGGAGCCGAGGGGACGAGGACACCCAGCCCCGCCGCGCCCCAGCCCGGCCCCTACTCACGGAGCGCGGCAGCTTCGCMGGCCCGGCGCCGAAGTTCGCCACCTGCCGTCCGCCCTCCATCGCCGCGATTCTGCTGCTGCTGCTGCTGCCGGTACCGGTGCTACGGCTCCGCGACCGTGCCCGCCTCTATAAACCCGCGGCAGCCGCGGCTCGGCACCTTCCAGCCCGCCCCCGGGCGCCCATTGGCAGCGCGGCCGCGGGAGGCGGCGTGAGGGGCGGTGTGAGGGGCGGTGTGAGGGGCGGGTGGGGCGGTGCCGGGGGCGGGGTGCGATCCACAGTTACAGTGAATTTTAGGAGATATTTCATATGAAATGCCAAGAGGCGGAAACTGATACACAGGAAGCTTCATCTGAATATGAGAAAGAGCTCAACTATGCAAGTGGCCATGCACTAGAGAGATTGTGGAGTCTCCTTCATTATAGATAATTAAGAGCCATCCCGTGCCATGTATTCCAGGACACCCCTGAAAAAGCTGCGAGGTTGAGATCACCTGCCGTATCCAGCCTGTCCCTTCCTGGGTTTCTGTAATTCGTCCTGAAAGGGGTGGTTTTACACTACCCAGATGTTCTCATATTTTGTGTGAAATACTTGTAGAAGAGGAGGATCTCTCCCTTCTTTCTCTAACCCAAGAAGTGCCTGCGCGCTGTGCACTGTTTCCCACAAAAAGTCTGTTGCAGGCAAATCGCTATTTGGATTTTATCCGAAGAGAATAAAAACAGGAGAGCTGTGAAACTTGATCAGTTTCACATAATGGATTGCTTAGTTTGGGCTTGCCTTGAGGTCTGCCAAATCCTAGGCTAATATATCTGAATACTGAAGTATTTTTTCCAGATACCTTGGTTCATTGAAAATAGAGAGATAGTACAGTTAAAAGTGTTGAAACTGAGATAAGGACTTTAGCTTGTTTGATTTTTTTGGATTGTTTTAGGGAGAGACATTTTACTCATCAGTTGTCAGAAGTTATTTTAAAGGCAGTAGCAGTAAATCAGTTTTGACAAAAGAAGCCATGAATTATGACTGAAAACAGATGGGCATCACATAATCCCATAATTTCCAAGTATCTTGGACAAGAATCACAGTTCTCATATATAGCTGTATAAAGCACAGTTCTTGAACACATTAGACTGTCCAGTGTTTCCTGCAAAGCTGGCCCTATGTTAGTTTCATGCATGTTCACTAAGCTAATCATCATTAATTATCTGTACAGAAATCTGCTTATTTTTCAGAAATGAATGCATCAATGTCCATTATTTTGTGAATACCGAAATTTATATAAAGTACCATTTTTCATTACCAATTGTTTCACTGAAGAAATACCAACTACTTGAATTYGTTCCTTTTCCTGTCAAGCCAGGAGATACCCGGAACCACAAAAAGAATTTACAGACAACAGACTGATTTCGTATTTACTTAAAAGGTTTTCATCTTATGAAAGTTATTTTGTTAAAAAAAAAAATTAGAGACAATGGTGTTAGAGCAAAGATAGCTTTCATTTCAATAATAGCAATAACTTAAGAAAAACCTACCAAACTTGCTTTCAGGCACCAGAAACTTCTGCAGTGCTTTAGAGATAATAGCAAACTTCACAGACATCACAGGCTGGATACTTGATCTTCAAAACATTAAGGTATTTCTAAAGTACCACAACACTCAGAACATTACACCTAGTTATTAAAATTAGTTATAATTAAATAGAAATCTCTAATGAAATGATTAGTAACAGCATAGGTATGACTAAAATTTTATTATTTCTATTAGTGGCTCAGCTAGAAGTTAGATCAAAATATACAGGCTCCTCACAGAAGCTTTTCCCAGTATTAAATCCAAACCACTTATATAGGCCAGAGAGGCAACTTCAAACTCTGGTCTGCTGGGGAAATGGTATACCAGGTAGTAAGGGGCAGTAGAAGATGTCAGAAATAGTGTAGATTATGGATTCAGGTCAGGAAGCCTGGCCACTGCTACAGAAAGTGCTCCACTGTCTGAGCAGGCTGTCTTGAATACTAATTGTGCGGAAAATCCACAAGTAAATGAAAACTTTGGAGTTGAAAATCTAATTCAAACACKGGCACAAAGAATTAGAACACAAAAATAGAAATTAGGCAAGCTGGTGTTGGTATCAGCTCAGAGCACTGGGTGAAAATACCAGGTTTTGGAGTTCAGTTCACAGAAGTCCCATCCTAACCAGTAGAGTCAAAAATAGCTGCTCCCATGAGATCAGACAACAAGGCTGGAAGCCGTGTCACCCAGAAGCTTAGAAAATCCTTCTCCCTATTGATGGGGAGTATACAGAATTGGTAACAAAGTACAAACCTGACATTTTTGCTGTGGGCAAGGGATTATTATACTTTTGCACTTGGGAAGAAATAATCGTACAGGGTCACATTACAGTCTTTTCTCTGTTGGACTGAGATTTCTCCTATTAGTATTTTACTAGCAGCAATTATTWTTTAATAATTATATCAAAACCATTTATTCCATCATAGAATCCTACCAATATTCATAGCCACCCAATATAAGCTTTCAAACCCATGATTTTCAGGAATGCTTCTTTCTTGTACCATTTGACAGAATTTGATCCTTTAAGTGCCACAAATCAATCTCTGCAGATGAACTTGGATTTGCATAATTAATACAAAAACAAGAAAGATATATTTACAATGATGCATAACTGGAAAAACAAGACAGATTTTTAAAAACCCTCAGAAGTATAAATGAAGTTCGAGAGTTTTCAGTGAACTCTTACTAGGCTCATCATGACTTCATGTTATGCTGGACAGCAAAACCTTGATTTACTACTGCTGGAAAAGGATCAGCTCACTCAGGGAAAGCAAGTGTACACGAGTYCTCTGCCTGGTACCAAAGCTGACAAACTTGACGTCATTATTAAAAGACAAATAATGATGACGACACAGCAACCTTGCAAGCATTTCAGGAGGCAGCTGGGGTATCTGGTCCAGCAAACTAGTGAGATGAGCAAATTTTGGTGAAACCTTTACATATATGGTTCAAACAAGGGTTTGGAGTTATTTTGTTTTTCAGAGATCGAAGTTCTGAACTGTGAAGAGTAGCTCTTGGGAAGACTAAGTGAAAAGAAAAAAAAATCACTGAGTTTTATCAGTAAACAGTAACGTTCTCTAGCAAATAGCTGGCCTATTGATTTCAGGCTTTTATGTCAAACAAGAACACAGACAATTATGTAAAACATTAACAGTAAGAGGATGAAACAGCTTCTAGTCAGGCTCAGGGAAGAAAATGGTTTCATAATAATTTAAAATAAAAATATTTTTACATTTTATTAAACTTACTGTCAAATATATATATAGAAAATGTTAATGTCTGAAATATTTTTTATAAATGTTTTTAAATCTTTAGGAAAAACTTTGAAAATTCTGATATTTTCATGATGGCCTTAAAAATAGTTCTTCCCTAGTAACTTCAATCCATTGTCTCTGCCAACAGACACAACTATTTATCAAGTATGCACTACAGATTCTTACAGTAAGAGTGCAATACTATAGCACTAGTGACATGAAGAATCCTTTGTTTCTGATTTAACAGGAAAAAAAAGCATTAATTCACTGAAAAAAAGAATATACATTTAAATTGCAAACTGCCTCATCAATTTTGCTTTAAGGTTATTTTTGAAATAATTAATATTCTGAAAGCAAATATTGAAAAGCAAGTATTTAACACGAAAGGTATTTATTATCACCTGCTTATGGGCATGTAATATATAAACAGTTCTAAGTTCTTAATGGTATTTTTAGGGATAAGTAACAGATTCCCAACTCTGAACCTCACAAATACAACACTTTTGAATTTATAATTTTATCCAGCATTTCTCAATTATTAGCTTTAGAATTTTAGATTTAAAAAAAGGAATAGGCAGCGTTTTAATGCTGAATACACAGATTGCACCCAATTGTTCAATCTAACCAAATACACAAAGAATGACTGAAGAATTAGACAAAGTTGGGAAAATATTTTTTAAAATACCACAGATTAATATATTACTTTCTAATATTCTGAAGTGACAAAGTCTGTACAAAGAACATACTTCCATTGTGCAATTACTTGTGCAATATTGCAAGAGCTAAGGTAATCTTGTGCTATTTGCTCTGCAGAAAAATTCCATTAGAAGACTCATGAGGTTTTTTCTTAATTTTAAAGCAACTATATGAGTTTTAAAGAACTCATATAACAGATGACTGAGTAAAAATAGTTACAGGCTGTTTTTTTCCAAGTTCATCCTGCCTAGTTCCTGCACATGGTAAGTATTTTCTAGTTCAGAAGCTGCAAATCAGCTGACAGTGCACAAGGACAGGAAAGAGAAACTGGAGGTGAATCCCAGRAGTTTAAAAACAGTAATTCTCTTAGTTTTACATTCTCACATTTCTCTGGATCCTGAGAGCACTCTAAGTTAGACTAGACTCCTCCTGAGAGTTCTTCCAACAAGTAATTCTACAATCTGCAKTCATAGCAATAATGATGGTTTTATTTAAAAGATTTCTTATACAGATGTATCTGGGCTCATTTTTACTCTGAAACTTCCTCTACTTTTGGGAATGTCATACCCATATACTGGGAATTGGTGTTTGCCCCAAAACCATTTTTGCACTCCCACTGGAAAACACTGAAAATAAACACAAAAAAAACTGTACTGAAATTAATTTTATTAGCTCAAAGATCTGTGATAAGGAAATCCATGTGCCAAGCTTTCTTTATATGTAGTACAAACTGATGGGTACCATAGAGGTATCACATGTTTTCAAAACTATAAATCTAATGACAAGAAACACAAATATGAAACAGGAATTCTGAGCAGCATGCAATGTTTTAAAAAGTCATAAAGTCTACAAAATTTTACAAAAAAGTCACCTAGTGAGATATTCAAAGCCTATTATTATTATTAATCTTGTAAGTGTAAAGAACAGTCCAAACATTTTAGAACCATTTCAAATGCTGGTAACACTTTGTATACTTTCTTGTATTTCAGAGGCAGATCCTACAATATCAGTTCCAGGGCTAACAATTACACCCTGCAGTCTACTTTTGTCTCCTCTCACTCCAGTACCTGGAGCTGCTGTTTCAATTGGTACAGAGATGTATTTCTTAGAGGAAGAATTTTTGCTTTTTTCACCAGAAATATTACTGGATATTCTGCTATCATCACTTCTGGTCTGTACACTGGAATCAGTAAAAGAATGCAGACTGGTAGCCAATTGTCTTGCTGAGTGATGTCCTTTTGCTTGTTCATTTTGTTTGACTCTCCTCTCAGGTAATATTGGAGTGCTACTTCGAGGTTTCTCCTCCTTATTTTGGCTAATTGTTTGAGCTTCATTTTCCTTCCATGAACCTGGTTGATACTGCTGTCCAGCAGCCTGAAGTTCTTGAATTTCTCTAAGTGATGAAAAGGCATTATTCCCAACCATCTGGGATTGAAATGCGCCAGGAAGAGAAAGTTGGGTATCCCCAGCTCTGTTCTGAAACAAAAGATTCCAATGAAGACACTGATGCAACTAGAGAAAAAAAAGCCAATATTGCAACTGCCACATATATACAAGAGTCTGCAGAGCAAAACAGAGCCTTTACACAACACAGAAATGCAAAGGTGATAGCAATTCCACAAACTTTATCACCTTTCAAAGTTTCTGAAGATTGCTAGGGTGATAATGACATGGAGAAGGCACATTACAGTTTCACATTTAGCTTGAAATTCATACTACAGAGATGTGTCAGTTACACAAAAGCAGCCAAAACTTAATCACATTTATCATTCCAAAATACCTGCAATTATTTTTACCAGCAGTTCACAGAAGTGTAGTCCCAACACACTATGCCACAGCATCTAGCTGCTCTGAGAATCCAAACTAATCACCAATACTAAGAGATAAGAGTGAGCTGTTTTCAAACTGTAAAACTGAAAATTCTCTCCACACTGTTAGAAAAAAATCACAACTTTTTAACATCATGTTTAAGGAGTTCGTGTTCTTGAAGAAATTAGAACAGTTAAGAGGGGAAGATATTGGATATAAGAAACACACTGGAATGCAGAGTGATTCTTGGTATGACAGTTTTATTGAACTTGGACACAAGTATAGGCTGCTGTATCTGAATTTTAAATAGCTTTAAAAAAAAACTTTTTTTTTTTACAGGAACTTTAATATCTCCTTTGAAAAATCCAAAAGGTTTACTATTAATTGACAGAGTAGAACCTAAAACCTTATGCAATAAATACTTTAAATTGCTAGTTGCCTGAAATTCATGTCATGGTCACACAGAAATCTATCAGGACTGGACATATACACAGCAATTACTAGAGAAGATAACTTGTGATTTTCAGCAGATACATTGTACTAGCCTCTCCTGTAAGAGTACGTTTCTTTTACTTTATTTTTAAATTTTTCTAAAAAACCTTCATTATATTTTCTAATTTTAATGGACGCCTACCACTTTTGGAACTTCCTATTTCAGACTAGGAAACAACACAATTACTACACAATTACTACCAAATTACAAAATACTACAGTTTATGTAATATGATAAACAACTTAAAAGCTTATATGAATCATTGAATTATTATGATCTGTATAAATGAAGCAACAGCAAAAGGTTGCAGTAATAACTTCATGAATCAGAGGGGGAWAACAACTGAAAAGTATATTAAAGAGCATAAAGTATAATTGCCTCTGGAGACTTACTCTGCAATTCTGGGTATGTTCCTGTCTTTCTTCTTCAAAAGACTTCTCCTTTCCCATGTTCACAGGCTTACCAAGAGTAGAATTCATTTGTGAAAGCCCCAAAATACCAAAATCTGATTGGTCTATCCCAGCTATTACAGCAAGTTGTCCAAGTCTGTAAAATAAAGATTTAATAGAAAATAACACAAACAATCCTTAATCTTTGAAAGACCTAAACATTCAAAATCAGAAGAAGTAAAATCTGTTTATCGCCTTGAAGATAATTGCCTTTTCTATTATTTTATGAGAWGCTCCAAGTATCTTGACCAAGATGAAAGCATGTAGCTACAGGTATTTTCTTGTTTTTGCACAAATTAGCCTGCGGGTTCAAAAGAAGCGTTACAAGGTTTACARTGAAGCTCTCCAAGGTCACACTGAACTCTGAGCACCATGCAGGCAAGCAGATTCCATGTCAGACAGAACAAAGATTAAAACCCTGTCATTCAAGCAGAAACTGCTGCACATCTCCAAACAGTAAAATCTCTTAACATGTCAATCACATGCAGAACAAACACACTGATGTCGTGTCACCTGCCAGCTTGGAAGTTGGCCAAACCAACCACATATGTGTTTTAAGCCTCAGTAAGAAGTGAGAAGCTGCAGCCATTAATTGGTAGCACAGCATATGATATACAGAAGGTTACTGAGACGAGCACTCTTCATGACTGGGATTCGGTAACTTTAGAGCAGCTCCCTATTACCATGCACAGACAGAAATAGAACCCATATGAAGAAATCTTTCTCATGTAGTGAAAATGCATTTTTCCCTTCCTGAGAAGTTTGAAATTCCTGCAGTAATGGTAGTTTCCTGCTAGTTTCACCAATAAATCATGTCCTCTAAGCACCACATCCTGATGTTTTCTGGACATGTCTAGGAATGGTGATCTCACCACATTCCTGGGCAGCCTGTTCCAATGTCTGACCCCACTTTCAATGAAGAAATTTTATGTATATCCAAGCCAAATCTCATCTGGCATAACTTGAGGCCATTGTCACCTAGGTCCTGAGTTCCATCRTTGCAATTTGGAAGTGAGAGATAGGGAGGGAAAGTAAAATCTTCTGTGATCTTCTTGGAATATGTGGAATAGTCTACAACATCTATTCACATAATTCCCTCCTTGTGGATGAGACTGCCATACCTGGTCAAGTAAGCTTTACAAATCATGTTTAAGCTGAAATTCTTTAAAAAATGGGAAGGATGAACCATCTTCCGACAAAATGCAGATACAGTGGTAAGACAAACTTTAACCAATACTCTCTAAAATAATTCACATAATAATTAATCCAGGTTTTAAATAGAAAKGCTGGAGATTCATCAATCTAGATTTCTAATGCTTCAATTAGTGAATGGGGAGCACAAGGTGACAGGATGCTTTCTGAAGGCAATTCAACTGCATTTTGAGCCTTTCATATGGTGAGAATGCTAAGAGCCACAGGTGATTCACTAAAGACTTGGAAACGTGCTTCAACAGAAGCTTTCTACTCTCTTGGAATAGGATTCTTGAAAGCCTTGCCCAAAGGCAGACACAAGAATTCAGCTGAACTGTGCTTAGATCATGTTTTTGCCACTAGGAAAACACTACACAATAGGTACTTGGCTAATTTATTTTCCTCTGCACTTTGAGAGTACACATCTAGAAACCTGGAGGTGTAGAAGGCAGTATACTTTACTGTGAGGATAATCTTGGAAAGATCTCAGGAAAAACAGCAAGACTTAAGTGACAACCTACCCAGCATCTTTAAGGAGGTCTAAAAAAGCATGGAACTTTTGGAAAGAGCTCTCAATGCTGCCTAGAACACCTTCATCTTCCAAAATCAAGCTGGTTACTGACTGTGCGTGAAGAACCTCGGACAGGGACATATTTAGACTCTTTAATCTTGCATTTTCAATCTCCAGCTACGTGGGGGAAAAAAAAAGAAAAAGCAATTTRTTACATTTTCAGTTTAAAAGATCAAACCTCACCTTTGTGTGCCTGAACAGCAGCATCAAGAAGAGAAATATCTGAAATAACTGGTGTAACAAATGCAGAGTTTGCTGCACCACCCATTTTCAGTGCATTTCAGGGCACTATTACATTAAGCTCTGTGCAGGTCAGCTTATCCACAGCTGCAGCTCTATGCTACCACAGATACCCCTGCAAGCACTCAAAACCACTTTCTCAGCACTGACTTCAGTATGTAGAGGATATTATAGAGCAAGTACAAGCAGTAAAAATTAGCTTTCATATCATTTTACTTTGCATGTATTATATGACACTTTAACAGCAAAGAATTCATTTTACTACTAAAAAAACCTAAATAAGCAACAAAGTTCTCCTTATATTGACACCTCTGTATCAAGGGTATGCGTACTACTGTTATGTCTCGCTGCACTGTGTATCTAAAAACTGAAAGTATACAATGATTCAATTTTTTCTCCACATTGACCAAAAATCAAATTGATGGTGAAACTGAAAATTACATTTTAACTGCAGAATTATCCCATCTCCTGGGAGAAGACACTAAGTCCAACCATCCGAGCCTTGATAGAGAAAGATTTCTGGCCTAAAAAGGATTTAGGTATCTAAACAGAGCCCACTCATGCACATCCCATTACAGGAAGATGGGGATCATCACATAAGAGGGCTACAATGAACCTTGGAAAGTGCAGAGTCCTTTGTGGATATCTGCTCCCTGTGGGGTACCATTTTTGCTCCTATTTCAAATGGTATCATCACCACCTTCATTCCCCTCCAAATCACATTTTAAGGACCAAGTCCGTTTGTTTACATGAGCTTACACTCAACTATATTAGAAGAAATTCTGCTTATTGATGCAAAAAAAAACATTTTTAGGTCAGCAACAGCAGACAGAGGGGACAAAGACCTCACAATTTAACTGTGATAAGTTGTTCAGTCTTCTCAAAGCTAAACTGCACTTCACAATAACTGACATGCAGAAAACCAATGTGGTTATTGGCTGCAGAAACAAAACTTAAAGGTACAGAATAAACCAAATTGAGCAACAATTGAGAAAAACAGTTTTTCAGCACATGTCACAATAAGTAAGTTGGGAGACAAAGATTTATCCATATGTACATACTCTAAACAGATTTAATCACTTTCTTGAAAAAAACAAGTATCAGGATGCCCCAGATGGTAAGTATTTCAGAAAATGAATAAAATACACTGAAAGAGTAGCCTGAGCTAGAGTTCAAGGACCTGGAACAGGACCAGTAGAGCAAACACATATTACTAAACACAGATTTCATCACTGCCCTTAGACTAGTAAATGGTCCATGTGACACTGAAAGCTACCACATTAGTAGCCACTGATAATTACTCCTAATTAAGCAAGCAGAGTCTTTGAGCAGCGCCTCCTTTATAAATAAAGATCATTAATAGTTAAGTATGTTTACCTCTAGTAGCCGCTCCTCAGCCTTTACTCTAGCTTTTTGTTCTTCCTTTAGTTTTTCCAAGCAGTCTTCCAGCTCCAACTATCAAGACAGATAAACAATCATGAAATTTATCTCAAAATGTCAGATTAACATGCAATAAACAGAGACTCAACATGTCCAATTAACAACTAGCACATGGCATTCCAAAGAGTAACATATCTGCTTCAAAAATACAGGACAGAGATCTACCAATATGCAATTCCAGGATGCAAARTAAGCAAATTATTTATAGAAAATCAAAAACAATAATAATAATAATTATTATTTAAATAAGTACTATTATCACTATATACGTAGAAAAAAATACATAATTATTCACTTAACATATTTGTAAGATTGCAACAGATAATATTAAATTACAGCACAAGTCTCTGGCTTATGACATAACCATCAGGAATGCATGGTATTTTCAAGTATCATTTTTAACTAAATMCATCTACATCATCAGAAGCTCAAATTGGGGTCTATTATGAATTCCTTATTATGTATGTAGATTTTCCAACTATATGTGTTGCTATCCAGGGTATGCATATAGAATACAGTAAGAATACAGAATTCTGAAATGGAAGAACTGTACTCTTTGTACGTGGTTTCACTTAGTTCTTTGGTTAGAATGTTTTCCACAATTCCTAGTTTAGTGTTGAATTAGCAAAAATAAAACCAAGCCCAAAACATCTAATCAATATATTCTAGTCTTATTCATGAGATGTCCAAACTCATGTTTTAACTAATGCTTCTAAGCAGTAAATTTCAGTTTCAGCAACAGTAGTCATGATTTGCAATACCATGTTTTCTTGTATCCCAGCAGAGCATTAGCATCTTTAATTACAGCATCTGAACTGAAAAAATAAGTAAGAATTTTTCTTCTTGTACACCCTAACAATATTCTGGCTCAAAGACACAGGTTCTAGAATCCTCTATATATGGCACTCCCAGTGACAACCACTCAAAGTGATGATTATGGATCTGTCACTACCCCAGTGAAGCCCGCTCCTAAAAACCCTAGACCAACACCAACCAAGTTAACCCTGAAAGTAGAAAGCTAGTCCTATCTTTATCATCTGAACAGTTGAACAGCATCTTCAGAAGTCAGAAGGCATAGGAAAAACAAGTTTCAGACATTACTTGGGGAAGACATTTAGCAGCATGTAACTTTCAGATACAGGGCTGGGGGCAAATACCTAAGAACGATTCACAAACACCAAATCTTACTACCATCTACCTTAGAACATGTGGAAGCAATGGGAGCTATAAAACCTCTTACAAACAAGAAAGGACAGCACAGAAAGTAGCAACCATAATGTTCCACACTGACAACTTGTCATGTAAACCTGGAATCCCATAGCCTAGCTTTTAAGATSAGTCGCAGCTATCACAGGCTGAAGAGTTCTTACGCTTCCATTTATAGAGCACACACATACACAGGCTAGGAACTCTACCTTAGAAACAGTAGTTCTATAGTATTTCTGTTGTGGACATATTTTAGATAATTGAAAAGGYGAAAGCTGACCCTTTTCTTCAAAGTGCTTGTTAGCAATGGCAAAGGCCAATAGCTTAGAAAGTAATTACATTTTCATTATTTTTTTAAACAGAAATGTAGATGTTTTGTAGTAAAGATTAAACTTGATTTATCACAATGTACAGAGTATTGCATGGTTACAGGCTGACTTGATAAAAATTTGAACACAGCAGCTGCAGCTCCCCATAAGCAGTATCAAAGCCAGCATTTAAAGGAAAGAATTTGTCACCATTACATACTACAAGTATATGTGCACTTTAATCTTTTATTTCCTTCTAAGAAATTCACTAGTTGACACAATGGTGCAGTCTTCATGCAGCAAAAAATCATTAAAACATATCACAGAGCTAAATGTACACCCAAATTACAAGACTAAGCCTTCAAATATTATAACCAGAAAGACAACAGATAGACTTTAAGATGAAAATTAAAACCAACAATATAGGTAGCCCTCAGAATTACTGTAAGCATATGTCTGCTCAACACTACACAGAAATATAAAACTGAAGTTTAAAAAATTGTATTTTAGAAAATTTAGTAACTAATTAGCCATGTTTTTCTACTTGGCTGTACTTAAAAAAAAAACCAAAAACAGTTATAGTGCAATCTCTAGCTCTTTGTAATTCACAAAGTAGTATGATGTACAAAGAGTTGCCCTGTAACTAGACTAAGGGTGAAGTTCACCATTTAAATCCCTAGTTAAAATTTAAAAGCATGGGAGTTACCTCAGCTACGCACTTCATTAGAACCAACTCTAATATTTGATTCCCTCTAGTGGAAGGAAAACGTATTTTTATCTGTTCTCATTTTTCATTTAAGCAGAAATGAGGCTTTCATTAGCCAAGGCTTTTTTTTTACGAGAACACCAAGTAAGTATTACTTGTTTCATAAGCAGTATGCTTAAAGCCCCCTTTTGAGCAAAAGGATGTATAGAAGATCTCCATGACCAGCACACCAAAGTGAAAGTCTGGTCATTTAGTCACTTCAGGAGATGTCTGGAGAGCTTTTTGGAAAAGCAGCAGTTTAAGGTACTCCCACCTCTTACTGTTTACTATGACTCTGCATTCCCATCATTGCTCTAACACAACTGGTTGTCCCACTTTATTGAAAGGCCTGCTACCACCAAACACAGTGGACTACTTTTCAACTGGATCAATTCCTCAAAGCAGCTCCCCTTGCAAGCTGCTGTGCAGTAAGAGCTGTTTAATGACAGTACCAAAGACAAATTAAGGCAGAGAAAAAGATGTACTCCAGTTCTGGAATACATCCAAGCACATCAACCAATGTGAGCTGTTAAGCTAATTGAACACCATCCTGGAAAAGTATCCCAGATTGGTTGAGGCTGAAAGGGAACTCAAGCAGGACTACATACAATAAGCCTTCCAGGACTGTGACTGGATGGTGTTTTCAGTATCTTTTAAGGGAGATGCCGTAACTGCTCTGGGCAACTGGTGCTACTGCTCAGTCACTCTCACAATGAAAACCTGTGCCCTGATGTTCAGAACCTCCTGTGTTTCAGCTTCTGACCACTATGCTTCACTCTTTACTAGGCAACAGAGAAAAAGGGGGTCCATCCCATTTACACCCTCCTTTTGGGTATTTATCCCTCCCTGAACCTTCTCTCCTCCAGATGGAACAGTCTCAGTTCTTTCAGCCTTTCCTCAGAGAGGTGCTTCAGTCTCTTAACCATACTTGGGCTCTTTGTTGGACCTTCTTCAGTCCACCCATATTGCTCTAGTACTGGGGGACCTAGAACTGGACACAATACCAGGTGTGGTCTCACCAACAGAAAGGAAGGATCCCTTCCCTCAGCCTACTGGCAATATTCCTCCTAATGGAGTCCAGCATACCATTCACTTTCTCAGCTGCAAGAATACACTGCTGGTCATGTTCAACTTGGTGTCCACCAGAGCCTTTTCTGTAGTGCTGCTTTCCAGATGGTATCCCTCAGCAGATACGGCTGCTTAGGGTTGCTCTTACCCGGTGTCCTGGTGCAGGACATTGCATTTCTCCTTATTTAACTACATGAGTTTTCTCAGATCAGCAAGCTGATTCAATTTGTCTTATGATCAGACAAACATGAAAAAAGGCCAAAGAGTAAAAGACTGAAGCAAGAAATGAAAAAGCACTACACTACAGAGAGAAAATAGAGAATTAAATGGTGACAATTTGAGAGTTTGATTCTGCCATGATGTGAATCCTGCTTTGTGTCAAGGTAACAGAAACAATGAGTGAGGCACAGAAGCAGGTGAAGATTGCTTAAACAGTGCTATCTGATAAGCTATCATGGCCTAAAAAGGTATTTTGGTTTTTAAATTCAGAAAGTCAGGAAAATAAGGACCTTTACAAGCAAAGACAAATCAAACCAAATTTTGGGGTAAGTTGCCAAAATTTGTGTGTTTCCTTCCAAGGAAGTTCAAATTAATCACTAATTGCCTCTTCCTTATACCTGCCCTACATCAGTAATACAGSTAACACTGACATAATAGGTCAGCACGACAACCCTTCCACTAAACACTGTCTGCCTCTGCTGTATGCTGCAGTAGTCTTCCCTCACCAAACACCAAGAATAAATAAATCAAAAGGTTCCTGGAAGCACAGTAGCTCCTGCATAGAAGTTTTTGGAGCAATTTGCATATGACATGAATTCTATGATTTTAGACGCAGTCCTCTTGGTAAGAAGTGCTGAAGCCACCACAGAGTCCAATGTCAATATATGGCACACTAAAGTAACATGAGATCACACCCAAAGAAATTTACTATACAACGTTAAGTTCAAATAACACATGAAAACCTTGAAATAAAACCTTGAAATCTTCCTGAACAAAAGTTCTAGAGAGAAAAAGGTCTAAAGAAGAAGTATGCATTAGCTGAAAAGATCAATAGTTATTTACGCAGTATTTGTGCAGTCTTTTTGCTTTCCACAACTCTATCCCACCCTAAACATTCCCACTACCACTAGACCTGCAGCAAGTTAGAACTTAACTTCCCTCTCTCACACAGAGGCAGCTATACAGTCCCAATACGCACACATACGAACAGCGTATTTGCCCAGTGTGGTCTTCTGATAACCACCACCAAGTGAGTATAGAACTTATTTACACAAGTATTCATTAGCTTCTCCGAACAGAATTCAAACCTCAACACTTCAGAAACAACACATTTACTCCACCTGAAGATGTTACTTTACAGTATGCTAGAATACCTCAGCAGCCACCATTCTGAGCCACCTCCCTGCCCTTCTTTTCTAAGAACATTCCCAGTCAAGATATTTGCAGAAACAGTCAGTTTCACTACCACTAAATTTTTTAAGTATCAAATAAGTAGAAGGAATAATAAAAAGCCAGGCTTTACAAAGCTAAATTATAAAATGGAACTAGGCTAAATTATAAAATGGAACTCAAATACTTTCAGCTATTTTTGTAATTATTTTTACACAACATTCATTACCATATTTCAACTCTTAGAAATGGCATTAAATTATTTTTATAAAGAAAATACTAGGAACAAAATACTATAGGCAATGACATGGATCAAAAGATCTGAGCACCATAATTCAAGATGGGAAGAGAGAAATTACACACACTGCAGCTTGCATTAAGTCATTCTGAAATCCTGCTCCAAAGCTGGTTATTTAATCACAGTTTTCTGAATAAAACATGGCTTAATTGATATACTTTGCTTTTATGGAGTCTAAAGCACTGAACATATAAACATAAACTGAACAGTTTCTTACCTGTAACTGTTGATATTGTGTTATATCCATCACATCTAATGATTTTGTCAAATCACACTGGTGGATACCATCCTCTAAATCTTGTGTGTCTTCAGTTTCAGACGAAGAAGCACTTTCTACTGTCACTTTCACAGGAACACCAGTCTAATCACACCAGAAAACATGCCCACTCATAGTATTACAATGTATAGCAAAAATTGAAGATTAAATAAAATCAAAAGCTTAATTTAAATACAATTGTTTTCCAGCATCCCTTAGAATGTAATACACATTGTCCAGTCATACAACTTTGAAATAAACTTGCATAAAACAATATTAAAAAGTACCAATCCTACAAGTGCATAAGTTGGGTACTGGTAGTGTGGATTTAGCAGCAGGATSGGCCCCTGCAAGGCACAGCCAGGACTGCCTGGTGCTGAACATAGCCAGTCCCAGGTGACCCACTGCAAGGTAAAACATGCCAGGCAGGCATAAGAGGTCAGAACAAAAGGAGTGAGGAAAAGAAGAGGGAACATCAGGCTGGGAGCAGAAATAGGTGCTCCTTGGTGGAGCCAATACCCTCATTCCATCCAGGCAAGATCCGTGTCCAAGCAGAGGTATGGGTCAAAGGAGCCTTTGCCCCTGGCATCCTGTGCCAGCCCATGTATTCTCAAAGGACTGCAGTCCATGGGAAGCATACACCAGAGCAGAGGATAAGAGCTGGCTTCCACAGCCATCAGATCCTTGTGTGATGGAAACAAGATGCAAAASAGAAGAAAGAAAGAGCGGATTTTTCTTTTCCTACTGGTAGGTTTACTAGAGCACCTCACGGATGTGTGTAAAACCAAGTACATAATCCAAACACAAGACAGAAAAGACACAGAAAGCCTTCAGAGAAAAATGCAAGTAGTTGCTCTTTTTGCCTCTTGAGGGATTATGYCTATACTCTAAATCAGCTTGCTCACAAGACTAGGAAACCAAAAGATACAGAGATAGAAATGTAAGTAAGCTAAATATCAAAGAAACTTCAAACAAATGCTGACATAAACTATTTTTTTTTTACTTCTGTGAGTGAGAATCTTCAAAACTATGTTCCAGTCTTAACTTTTAGACAGTGAGATTCTGTTGAGAACGCTTTCCCCTTTTTTCAGGCACCTATCTATTTAAAGAAAAACCCACTACATAAGAGGAACAGTACCTGAATCTTCAAGGGCAATTCTTCAGCACGATTTGCTGACCCACCACCTCTGAAATTAGGAAAAAAACACAAAACCACACTTTTTAGGAAAGTAAGTTTATAATGTTCCAAACACAGGATTCTAGGATAGGTGAAGCAGTAAGAATAAAAATAGCATCAGACAGTGCACTATACCCCTTTAATCATTATTACATTCTTATTTTGTTCTATGAGTACCCCCTACTTAATCATGATTTAGAGCAACAGTGCTGGATGCTAACATTAGTATTTTCAATAGGTATCTTGCTTAGTTTATTATTCTGAACTAAAGTCACCAGGAGAATTTGGTGTTCAACATTTTGAAAAACAAGCTTAATAACTACTTTAAATACAGCATTAAGTAATACTTTTGTTTAAATGTATAATCTCTATCCTGAGAGGCCAAGGTCTAGGGAATAGATTAAAACAAGAACAAAAACTGTTTCAAAAGAYAGCTTCTATGTATAATTTTTTTCGGTTCTATTTTAATGCACAGGACTTAAGATGATCACAGTAAGTATGCTTGTACTGGGTGAGAGGGAGCAGAAAGAAGAGGCAAGAGAATACCCATGCACCTTGAACAGGATCTCAAATTAACTATATTACATGCTTAGAACACTAACTTGCCTCTTCAGCTATGATGTATCTGATAAATCCTTGTCAACAAAATAACAAGTAGGCAGGGTAGGTTTGGTTTCTTTTGTTTTTTTTTTGCTACATCTGAATATTCCTATGGCAATCACAAATTTTTGTGTATTTTAAATACTTACTAAAGTAGAATTTATGTAAAATGCTAAAAAATTATATAATCAGAAAAAAACTATTATAACATTCTGTGTGTAACTTTCAATTYGTATTTTGAAAAGCTGACATTATTCTCTACTGTATTTATCATGCAAATTTTGTGCATTAGTATTTTCCCTTCTACTATGAAAACCTCACCTGCATCTCTGTGAACGTTCTGCAGTCCGCCAAGGAAGGAAGCCTTTTGTGCCTGGTGGCAGTGGTTTTGGTGCATAACTGTCTCTCACTGAGGAATTTTTTTTCCCGGGACTTACTGATTTTTTAGATGATAATCCTGGATTGAAGAGCAAGATTAGAAGAGAATTCATTATACCTAATTATTTACACACAGATTCACAGTTTACTGTTCATAAAATCTCCTATGTAATTAATAATAAGATCTTAGGAAATCTGCCATTCACTGTAATTTTGCTAAAGCATCCAAGAATTTGCGATTATAAACTGATAACTGCGACATTAGGCTGATGCAAGTAAGACAAGCTGGTTTCCAAAAAAAGGTAAAATTTTACAGCAGAAGAGGCTTATTCACATTACGAACCTGAGATAYCTAGCTCCATGTCTGACATCAAAGTTTAAACAGTCCGCATAGACAATAATGTGCTTCAAATTGCCCTCTAGTGGCTTTAGAGTGAAGAACATGGTTTTATTTATGGGGAAAACGACTCAACATAAAGCTGGTACTCATGSAGATCACTTGTATGGAACAGTGGCAATCTCCTCCCTAAGAGGACTAAAAAGTCGGGTTCTCTAGTCCTGTTTAAATYATACAGCATCGAAGCAGACTCAGCAAAGAAACCTAATGTGGATGACCACTCTACCTCAGGTTCTAAGTCAGAATTGACAAGTGTAGAAAACTGAYCACACACTATTTCATACAATTAAACTAGTGAGAACTCAGGTTATTGTTTCACTAAGATCAATAAAACAACTGATTTTGCAATGGTATAGAAATGCATAACTTAGATTATGGGATTCAAAACTTCAATTCATTCTGAACATTATAACCAGGATGGTTTTCATCTCCTGACTCCYGCATCCTCCTAAAAAGGACCCCAAAACACACAAAAAACCTAAAAAAGAAAAAAATCTCCCCAGAAAACCACAAAACCTCGACAACCACATCTGCCATGCAGTTTTTCTCCCACCATCACCACCCTGATCAACAGTTTTTTGTACAAAGGCTTTGATTTGATTTATGCTTACCTCTCTGCTTCCAGATAACTAGAGCAAAGACGAAAGACAGTGAAATATATTACAGTGAAATTTTCAGTAACTTACTGAAAAATAGAGTGTACTGCAGCTATCAGTACTAAATTACAAATATTCAAGATACCTACATTATTCTAAACATACCACTTATAACAGGTTTACATGAAGTTAAAAAAAAAATAGAACATTTTTTACATCAGTTAAAAAATGCATGTTCGTTCTGGCAGAAGACACCCTGCTACAGAAAGGTTACAAGAGCAGAACAATTAGACAACTTACTACTGCCAGGCTTCACAGAAGTGAAAGCTTGTGGAAAAGATGTACACAGAATAAACATATGCAATGCTTCCACACATYTTAAAGTCACATATCCTACCATTTTATCAGGCACGTATCTAGTAGCACTAAAAGCAAAAGCAAGTTTCCTGCAGATACCAATGATGATACAAGATACAATATGGAATTAAGAATAAATGCTATTTTTTTAAGTGTTCTGTAAAACACTAACATTTAGACACATCATGTATATTTTAATTAAAGCTTTTAAGCATTAACATGCAATTTTCTAGACATAATTTACTATAGCCAGAGAAAACAAAGAATTACCAATACGAATWGTAGCTTTTCCTTTCCGACCACTTCCGAGGACAATAGTTCTTTTCTTTGGYTTAGTTTTCAAAGCATCTTTGGAAGATGGAGACAGCCACTTATACTGGAATTTGGGGCATTTTAAAAGAAAAACAGAWCAGTTTAGTAACTGACAATTGAAGAAGTGCTCATTTAAAATTAGAGGGAGTTTTCAGATACAGACAGAGAATACCACTACTTACAGGAAACTTAATCAACTTTAAAATCAAGAAAAAAACTGATTCAAACACAAATTCAAACACAGATGATCCACATTATCAGAGTCCACATTATCAGAGTGTTCCCAAAATACCACCCTAATATCCCATCAGATACCCTTTCTCCCATGCAAAACACATCTCCTCTTATAGCAAGAAACCCCCAGCACCAACCCTGTCAAGAGGCAACCCTGGCTTCTGCACTTCATTCTCACAAAACTGGCTTCCTAGGAATGACTRACCTAGGCCAAAGTTCTCCAGACTAATAAAAGCTTCCCTAACATGACTTTATCAGTAATACAAAGTCAGTATTATAAAAAATATTAATTTTTGCTGCCTGTAATGAAAATATATCCTTACMAAGTAGAAGTCCCAAACAAAAATTAAGACAGTGATGATCAAAAGCCACAGGTATACTTCAAATTTCATTTCCTTAGAGCAGCAGCTCTATTCCTAAATCTCCCCTTGCCCTGATAAAAAGTTTAGTTAGTCCTGGTAAATATTCTTAAATTACCCTGCACATACTATTCAGTGTGCATCATTAGTACAGGGTCTAGTGCTGAAGCAACCATTGAAGGAAAATACAGATGACATTAATACAAAGCTTGTCTCTGACAGTCTTAAATTCCACATCAGTACAGTATGCCAGAGTTATTCCCATCTAAAGCATCAGAATGATTAAAATGCCATTACTGTGCTCTAACTAACCAAGCTTAATCCAAATTTATCACTGTCAAGAAAAACTGTTTTTCACTTTGGAYTCAATCCTTGTATAAATTTTGCTGTGTCTACAGCTGGATCTATCCTCTGTGTAAGTGAATCAATCATTTTAAACTAAAACACATCTAGAAATAGTAGAATTAAATTACAAGCTTGTAAGAGCAAAAGTCATTTTAATTTTGTTTTACTAGACACCTAAAAGCACCACTTTACCAGGTTAAACCGAAAGTTCACCTAGCCCATACCTTGTCTCATCTGTACTGCTGTTGTTGTACAGCATCTAAGTACAAAACCAGCAAAATATTAMAACAGTGTTTTGTAGACACCTTCAATGGCTTTTTCCTCTAAGCTATTCAGTCTCTCAGAAAYTACACAAACTTTCACCACCTATGACACTCAATCATATCTATGATTACAGTTCACTACATTGCTACAGTGCTACTAAAGTCATACAACTTCTGTTTTAGCTGCCCACCAAATTCGAAGGCATCAATTAGCAGTAGACAACTCTTGCAAACCTAAACACCCAGCCCAGAAAGTAATTCACCCAGCTAGTGAAAAATAGAGACAAAACAAACAGTTTTTACACTAAACAGGCTGGAAGGAAAGACAGCTGTGGAAGAAGCAAAGCTACTTAGCAAGCTGTGGTCAGTATTTCTTCATTCATGTTGTTAATGTAGCATGAAGAATTACTAGCACTGCCTATAAAACTTAAGATACCACACTAACTGGTAGAATGTAAAACTAATGTMTTGAGTCAAGTGATCTTTTAGCATATGTGAGATTCCCTACAGTTGCTTCTTTCCATGGTTTGAACTTCCAAACTGCTAAATTATCTTTAGCATTTCCAGGCAGATGTTATTTTCACGTGATCCTTGTGACATTTTCCAAGTGTTGATTGCATCTGCCAAGCAGAAAGAGTACTCCTTCACAACCAACCACAACTTCTCATAAAAGGTCTTCTAGTGAAGTGGGGAGCTTATTAATACTCAAGAAATTCTCAGTTTATTAGACAGTCCCTAGACATCCACAGCTCTGACTATATTTAGTCATTTCAAAAACAAGAGAGCATTAAATTCCAGCACAAGAACTGGGATTGCTGGGACTCCTTTCAGAACTGAATCAGATTTCTGTATATTTAAACAGTGTATCTATCATAAACGGATCAGACATTCAGTTTATGCACGATTGTGATTTCTGTGTGGACTGTTAGATAAAGATGGAAGGGGCTAATGTACTTTAACTGAACTCTTTTTTCATAGATGTTTGTACTGGAAAGGATGGTCTTGAGTAACTTAGAAAAAAATTGAGTTACATAAATCATTGACAAGACATACGTTTGAAAATGAATTGAGTGCTAAATTTTAAACTGTAGTTTCCTTTACTTTTTTATTAGAAGTTATTGTTACCATGTCAACAAGGACATGTAGTAGAAAGTTCTCCAGCAGGCCAGGAGCAATATTCACTTAAAATTCTATGGTATGCCCAAGTTCACACATATTTCAATTTTTTTTCCATTAAATACATACCCTGGTTTTATTACATATGACAGTTGTAATTCCATAAGAAATTTTTTAAAAAGCACAGTTCAATATCACATTCCTCACAGAGGTTTCAGGACTTCCCCTAGATAGTGTTGYTTCATTTGTACAGCTTAAGAATCAAACTTCTGTTCAAAACTAGAATAGTTGTCTTAGATTCATTTTGAACAAAGCTGCCCTTAAAAAAAAAAAGTAATGGAAGCTACAGAGAAAACCCCAAACTCTTTCCAAAAAGTGCAAAGCATACCTCTGAATCAGCACTACTTCCATTCTTAAGAACTCTTTCAATAATACTTTTCATCAGAACATGACCTAGAATGAATTAAGATATCTTATTAAGAATTTTCTATAAGACAACTCTTTATGTGAACAAACATCACTAAATAAAAAGTGCACATTACCTATCCTGTTTGTTTTCCCACTTTAAAAATGTTTAGCAAATTACTGTGGCACGTTCTTTTTTCCTTAAAAACAGCTGACCTTTCCCCATACAGTTACCAAAAAAACCCCAACAACCATACAAAGAGGATAAATGCACGCGCAGATACATACCAATTAATGGATTTTTCCTTATGTCAAGTACCACTAATGTTGTATTAGTTTGAAGAGCATCTAATAATGACCTTGCTCCCTCATTGGATATTCCACACTGCTGCAAATCAAGTGCTAAAATGTTAAAAGAGGTTAAAAAAAATCAGTGGAGGCAGTATACATGCAGTCAGTAACATAACAGTTGACAAGCAAAAAGATTAATCCTGCTGAAAACCTCCATTTCACCATTCCCATTATCTCTATCCACTCCCTTGTCTCTAGGCGCTGGAAAGAGTCTGTCTCCATCTCCTTTACATGCTCCCTTCAGACATTTATWCATCTGGATAAAATCCCACTCTGAGCTTTCTCTTCTCCGAGCCAAACTGTCGCAGCCTTTCCTGAAATCAGAACTGCTTTAGTTCCTTCATCATCTTAGTGCCCTTCACTCTCTCTAGTAGCTCCCATTCTCTYCAGTACTGCCAGTTCCATGGCCTCATTTGTGCTGAGTAAAGAGGAAGACTCACCTCCTTCAATCTGCTCACAAGTCTCTGCCTAACCCACCCAGGAGCTGCAGGACCCTTTCTGCAAAGCTGCTTTCCACCCACACAGCCCCCAGCCTGCTCTAGTGAASGGGATTATTCCTGTCCAAGTGAAGGACTAAACTCCACGAGGTTCCCAGCAGCTCATTTTTCCAGCCTGCTGAGGCTCCTCCTCTGGATGGCAGCAGATCCCTGCCTTTCCAGGGATCCAGCCAAGTAAGACTGACTGGTCTGTAGTTTCCTGGGTACTTCTTCCCAGACTTCTTGAAAACAGCGGGAACATTAGTTATCCTCCAATCTTCATGTACCCCGTTCTCAATCACCACGATCTTTCAATGACTATTGACACGGGCCTCAAAATTACATCAGCCAGCTCCCTCGGCACTTCTGGATGCATCCCATTAGGGTTTATGGACTGCTGTTTGTCCAGTTTGTTTAAGTGCCCTCTAATCTGATCAGTACAGATCTTATCTGTAGACCTGCCTCAAGCTATAAAACAGGTATTTGATTCCACATGCAGAATGGTGCAGTTACACCAGCACCATCAGTAATTTTGTACAGATGTAGAACAAATTAATTCTCAAAAATACTGAAGGACAATACTAGATGACTGAACAGTATCCAGACACCTGAAAAGAGGAAGAGAAATTTCTTTTGAAAAAAGAGTACTCCTTCCCAGCTACATAGTGAGTTACTCCACTGGCTGCAACTGTTATAACTGACAATTTTCTGCTTGCCACTACTATATTTTAAGAGATGTAGTAGTGAGATACAGAAATAGTAGAAGAGATAGTAGTAGATATGGAGACATGGAGATCTCCTTGCAGTCCTTATAGCAACTAGTAATAATCACAAATGAATTATACAGAAAATTCGCTGGTATAGGCAAAGTCCTACGTCACATGGAATATCTCAGTATCTATACATCAGTATATCTATAGTTATAGMCAAACTCCCGAATTATTCTGCTGCTGATATGTAAGAGACTCTGTAATAATACCTTTTAGCCAAAGGTCTTCTCCTAGACAGTCTGCAAAGGCACTTGCTCCTCTATCTCCAACAAGCATGTTGCAGTTCAAAGTAATCCGTCTCAAACCTGTCATATATTCAAGGTCAGGTCTCCTGTAACGCAGGCTTTCAGCCCAAGCTTCACCATGTCTTTTCATTGCCTGGTGCTTTGCAAACGAAGAAGCCATTAGCAAATGCAAAGACAAAGTCATTATTGATTACAAGATCACAAGCTACCTTTTTTTGTAAATCATGTTCAGTGGCTTCAGTGCTGTTTTAAGAAATACAGTAATACCATTTCTGAGTTCTTAAAYCTTACAGATAACTTCTATTTGTTCTGACAACCTAGTTTGCAATGCAAATTATTAAACTTGCCTATGAAGTGTCTTATTACCTTCTTTTGACAGACACTTTCAAGGCACATTGAATAGGAAATACATACAAACGAATTTTTGTGCTTTCATGGAAAACACAATTAACATTAATTAGAACACAGTACTAGGCACAAGTTTACTGATCAGTTAATCAGTAGCTCCTAAATGGTAAACTTGATTATTCTTACCTATTAAGAATACTTGAGACATTTTTCAAAATTACTGAAAATGAAAGAAGCAGTCCCTAAAACATGTGTCAGATGTTTACAGCCCTAGTCCTCATTTAAAGAAAATACTTCACTGTGTTTTTGTTTGSTTGGTATTTTTCCTATGAAATTCCAAATATAAATCCCACACCAGTAAACTAAGCAACTTCTGTCATACAAAGACACAGCTTTCAGAAAAATGYACATTGAACTTCAGTATTCACACACGCATTTCATGAAGAGCCTTTATGGATTTTGAAGTCTAAAGTAACAGTAAAAAATCAAATGTAGTAAGTTCTTGTAAACATTCCATTGTAAGGAAGCTGATTACCTTTAATACATTTGCTATATGTTCTGCCCCTCGCCACGTGAGGCTACATGCTGTGAAGTTTACAGATCTGATAGTAGCTGTATTCTTTATACTCTGACAGATTGCTGAAGAAGACAAAAGCATACATATTATCTACACACAGCACTTTCATTTTATCAGGACACAATACTTCAGTGGCCTATTGAGGCAACTTTACCAGCCAAAAGCTTTACAAGGAGCTAGTGTTGAAACAGAGAGTATATTTTAAATACATTCAATGACTTCAAAATTTATACTGGTTCTAAGTTTATTTCTAGTGCRACTGTTCAGCAAAGAATATCTGAATAAGATAGAACACATTTTATTTCAGTTTACATACAGAAAAAAAACAAGTCAGGAAAGAGTTAAGAAATATTAAGACTGTTTTAAATAAAAGCATAAATATCACTATGAAGTAGTATAGCTATTTACTAGCAAGTGAAGAAATTCAAATCTTTAAATGTTATCGAGTTATGCTTAATAAAGTGAAGATTGCTATTTTAACCTCCATCGACAAATATAAAACAGGAATGGAAATACTGAAAGATTTGCTTACCTACTTGGAAACTTATAAAGAGAAGAGTATATTTACAGGTTTTGATTCTGAACTTACTTTCCAACCCTCCATCTCCAATTGGACAGTGGGCTAAAGAGACACTCTCCAGAGATGAAGCTGCGGCCAAGCCCTTAAGAACAAAACAAACCATGTTGTTAATCTGGCATGAAAAGCAAACATACAAAAATTAAAAGAGGAAAGACCAAGTCACCCAAACTGCTCAAACTCTGTTCCCTACAAGAAATTCTAGCAGATTCAGCAAAAGGTCAAAACAAGCAATCCTTCAAGTTGTTTTAGATGATTCATTGCTTTAGCAAAGAGGAATCTTGTCTGTGGGCTACCAGCACCAACCTCCCTTCCTATAAGCCACTCATGAGCAAACTGAAGTTTTTCAACAACACATCTGAAGACCATTTTTATGTCCTTGGTGTCCCACAACTTCCCTTCTATCACATACATGCACAGTAGTTTCAGTCACAAGCATRTACAATATACCTCAAACACTGGGCAGAGATGTTGCTAAGATTTTCTAATAAGTCTTGATGTGATTCTGAGAGGTTCAGTAACCAAGTTATAGTAAAGGTCTCAGCAGAATCAGTCATATGATGAGTATATGTACATATAAAGACTACACAATGGTTTTGGAAGAGTTCAGAATTTCTTCACAACGAATACTTAGAAAATTAGTTGCTACTATTCTTTGTTCTGGGCATATTTTCCATTTATTTGTATACTATTACATTCCTACCTTTGTTAAAAGTGTTAGGTCTTTCTCCCTCAGAAGCAAACCTTGTAGTTCTAATTTTTTTAGTACRTCTGATATACTGAGACAGCCTTTCAAAGCTTTGCATAGTTGGCCAGTYAAGTCTTTTGACAGAGCTGCTGGAAATCTCCTTCTAAAGGAAGTTTTATGTTTTTCAATACCTGGTAAACAACAAAAATTCCACATCAGTAAAATCCAGTCCCTGTTAGCTTAAAAGAAATTGTAATCATACCTTCCCTTTTTCATGTACTTTCTTAAATAAAAAAAATTCCTTAGGCATTACAATTCCTCCTCCCATGCATTCAGTCACACGGAAGACTTATGCAACGAATTCTAACACGCATACATTGACATATTTATCTTTTATACAGACCTGGTTCTTCAAGACTGTGTTGATGTAAACTTCTTATTCCAATAGAAGTCAAAGTCTTACTATGCCTGAGAGCATTCAGAAGTGGTGCCCAATCAGTAGCTTTGATGTGATCGACAATCAGATCWATAGCATCATGAGTCACATTAGCCTTCACAGCTTTCAGTGGGAGAGAGCCTTGAAGTTCACAAAGATGTTCATAATGTGAGTAGAAATCCAGCATGCATTGTCTTCTTAATTTTACTGATTCAATCATTTCTTTTATGTGATAAATTCCTCTAAAATGAGAAAGGGGGAAAAAAAAGATAAAATGTTTTTCAATGATTAACTGATTTTTCAACACAGTGCCAATTCAACATGCATACCAAAAGCCTGGATGTTCCTGGATATCGTATAGCATTTACACATCTTCAATGTGTAGCTAAAAACCGGATGTGTTCTGATGCTCACTACCTGTGCAAGTAAAGCTGAAGGAGTAAAGGGCTGGGGAAAAAGGAAACAAGCACCAAAAAACAACAAACCTGCTTTTTTATTCTCCCCACACTAACAGGTATATCAAGAACACAAAAGGCCTGATCTTCAAGCACTGAATGTTGTAAAGATCTTGTTTTACTCTTAAGATTTAATTCTGTACTGTCAAGATCTGCCCAAAAGATCTTATAATTTCATACATAATGAAATTTGTTTCCCTAAATATTTTTGCTATTGCATACCTGATATATATCCCACTAAAATTCAGTAAGCACTTTTCAGGCCTAAGTTTTTGTCATACATTAGTACCCACATAGAAAAATACTAACTTCCACGTAGAACCTCTAAATACTGCCATGACATAGCTACAGTCTCAAYAGGAACATTTGTCAGTACATTTAGAAGGTACATTTATTTATTTATACTCAAGATAGCATTAAGTATTCCGCACAGGATATCAAACGTCGTTCACACTCCAAACATTTTTCATTTGTCACAAGACTAGAAAGCTTCAACTAATCTTTTCAAATATTTTTTATGTTACATTAGGAGTTATTTGACAGATACAAGCATGTTACAAAAACACAGTTTAGAAAAAAATTATCGTATTGTTACCATCTGAAAATGTAGTCATAATAAGACACAAACTCTAATAATACAGTTTTTTGACCCTTTCTTTTGCTGTTTTTTAGCTCTGATTTACTAGTATTTAATGACCACGCTGTGGCTACAAAACAGAAATGATTAAACTGTAATTCAACACTTCAGGTTCAGAAAGTGGACACCAGTTTAAAAGCATCAATGGCTTCTGCTGATGTACCCAATGTGCAAAATAATTAGCCTTTTATCTCCAGAGCTTAAGCAGTATTCTTTATGGGGGCTTTCATTTCAACACCTTAACACCACACCTCTCRCTGAAGCAAGGAGCTCCTGGCGCTAGCACTGAAGTTTAACTCGCTTGTAGGTAAAATGGGACAAACTAATCAGACCTACCACGCTTTTCAAATGGAAAACAACTGTGCAAAATAGAACTCTTCTGCACTGAAGGTTAGTGTATCTGATATYACCTTAGGTTATCTTGACTGGCTCTGAGAATGTATGAAGACGATAATTATGTACTCTTTCTTTCAATACAGATCCCAGATACCAGCTGGCGACAAATTACAACAAATGCACAACATAAAAGTAAAACTGAAAAATCCAGCTCCATRCCAAGGAGTTTTCAGGACGCTATGACTCTGTAGCCATTAAAATAATCAGCTGGCTAAATGTACAGGGGGGCAAACAGACGGCACCCTGTTAAGAGCCCTGTCCGCAGCAGCCACCCGCCGCCCTGCGGGGCACACGGGGAGGCTGAGCCGCGCTCACCGGCGAAGCGCGGCCTGGGGCTCTGCCGGGGCCAGGCACACCTTCCTTGCCCTGCTGCACCGCTGTGTTTAAGCACCTAACACAGCTCCCAGCCACAGAAAACTCCAGTTGGCGCCGTGGTAAGAACAGCGGGGTTTTTATGTTACACCCACTCAATACCGACCCCGAGCCCGGCAACCACTTCAGAGCGCACACCACTAAGCCGGCATCAGCCGGGGCTGCGTGAGCACCGCCCGGGAGCAGCCACAGCCGGTCGCTCCCGCACCCACACCGCCCCCGCCGCCGTGTCCCGGCCCCGACGGCCCCACCTTCCCGGAACCGACTAACGGCCAGCCCCGCGGGCTTCCCGCTCCGCCTGCACGCCGCGGGCCCGCTGTTAGCTGCCGTTACCCGGCACTACCGCTGTTACCAGGCGTTACCCGCCGTTACCCGGCACTACCGCTGTTACCAGGCGTTACCCGCCGTTACCCGGCACTACCGCTGTTACCAGGCATTACCCGGCGTTACCCGGCACTACCGCTGTTACCAGGCGTTACCCGGAGTTGCCCGGAACTACCACTGTTAGCCGGTATTACCCGTTGTTACTCGCCGTTACCTGGCACTACCGCTGTTACCCGCCGTTAGCCGGTACTGCCGCTGTTACCCGCCTTTAGCCGGTACTACCGTTGCTACCCGCCGTTCCCCGGCACCGTGTCCCGTTGTCCCCCGCCGCCACCCGGCATTACCGTCGCTCCGCGCGTTCCCTCCCCTGGGCCCGCCGCCGTTGCCGCGGCCGCCGCGTGGCGCGCGAGCGAGGCTGACACCCGATTGGCTGACACCCGTTCAACATGGCCGCGGCCGGCCGTCGCGGTAGTGGGGTGGTCGCCTAGCAACGGTGCGGCTCGAGGAAACTACCGCCTCCCTTTCCTGAAGCAAAACACAAACCCACAAAAATCGCCTGAAGAAACCAAACCCACCCCCCCCCCCCCCGCCCCCCATGAAACAACAAACAAAAAGCCAACAGTGCAGCGCTAAGAGAAAGCAGGCAGTGCTTCAGCTCTGTCAGCAAAGCGCCCGTGTGGGGAGCTCTGGAGGCAGGGAAACGTTCTGACATGCTGCGGTAGCCTCAGCTAGGTGGCCTGAGCCGTCCCACAGGGTAACAAACTTCTCCTCTACCGCAATGTTTGCGAGGTTAGTTTACACAAACGGGACTTAAGATGACAGAGGTTTCATTAAYATTCGCTACAGTCCATTACGCGGTGTGATATTTAAGGCAGAATAATTCAAAATGGAGTCCAGGTGCTGATCCTGGAATCTGCAGTTCATTCATGGATAGGGACACCAGCTAATCAAGAAAAAATATTACTGTAGGTTGATGACTAAGAGCAATTTGGTTATTTAAAATGCTAGTCGGCTGGTCGGAAGCAGGACTTTAAAGGTGAGTGAACTCTTGAGAGTTTTCCAGAGAAATTATACAGTCCCCTAGAACATTCTGAGGACACTATTTACGCAGATGCAATGTTACACGCTGTCTTTGTCTACACATCAGAAGCAACTGAAGCACTTTAAGTGCTACCAAGTGTACTAGAACAAGGCTTGCTGTAGTAAGTCGGACATCCCCATCTGTACAAATTGTTTCACTATGRCATTTGGGAAGTTCAGTGTAAAAGACAAGAGACACAAGGCCATTATCAGTGAAATGGCAAAACCAATGTTTCTGTGACTATATGACAAAATATTTCCTGTGCTTGCCATACCTCTCAGTGTCATGAACTAAACTCAGGCAAAATAAAATTCATATATTCTCAAGAATCTTTATTTGTAGAGATTTCCTGTTCATGCTACTTCGTGTTWCACAGATACCTCCAAAACTGAAATTCCAACTCTTGCAGAGAAACTGCTCCAAGTTGCTTCCTACCAAACTTGGTTTTCTTCAAAACATAATTCAGTGTCCCTTTCCTCAGCATTTGATTCAGTGTTTTATATTTGCATTCTATTTACAACTCTACATATTTTTGTTTGGTTGGTTTGGTTTGGTTTGGTTTGGTTAGTCTTGGGGTTTTTTGCCGTTTTTTTTGTTTTGGTTTTTTTTTTTTTTGGTTGGTTGGTTTTGGTTCTGTTTGTTTTGAGGGGGGTGAGGCTGGGAGGGTTTGTTTGGGGTTTAGTTGGTTTTTTTTTGTTTCTGTTTTTTTGGTGAGGCTTTTTTTTAATTTGGTTTTTTTTGTGTGTTTGGGTAGAGCTGATGGTTTTTTGCTATGCTGAATTTTGGTACACATGACACAGGGCTTTTGGTACACATGCTGAAAGGGCTGGTTACTGAGTTAGCGTTAAAAATGTTCTGTGTATATCAGTCATTGTGTAGGCCCTAAACACAGGCTTTATATGGTGCTTGTGATGATGTCTCATTCTGCATCCTGGTCTGTCTTGTGAAGGTCTTTCCCAGCCCACAGAATACACCTTGTGCCAGTAGTTTGGAGTGCAAGCTGCAGGGTATGCCCTGGCTGGTGGGAAATGGCTGGAGCCCCAAACAACGAGCTGTGGAGGGGCACTGACCTTCTGCCTGACAAAGGGCACAGTCCTGCAATGCTGACTATCACTTAGAGCCTCTGCATGACCCAYGGAACAGCAAGAAGACCCCAGATCCACCCATAATATTTTTTTTATGTTTTCTCTTTAGCTAGGTATGTCATTTCTTTTATATTATACCCTGTCTATTGCATTTGTGACTAAAATCACTACTTCCTTTTGCAGTCAAAGGCAGTTTTTACTGCCTTTACTGTTTTAGAGTTTCAAAAGCATAAAGTGATTTGGTGAGATACCAGATGTCTSTGTAGAAAACAGTTCCCAACAGTTCTGTCACTTTGGCAAATAATTTCTTCTTCACCAGTTATCATTTTGCTGAATTTGTTGAACCACTTTTTGTTCTCACTGTTTCCTTGCTGTATCGTTCTAAGCATATGCTCTTCAGAGTTTTTTTTTGTTAATGTATAGTAATTTAATTTTTAATTTTCTAACAGTAYAATAATTTCTCAGTCTCACACCACAATGTTAGCTTTCATACAGGCATCAGGAGATGAAAAAGGGGCTGTGCACTCTACCCTGTTAGTGGGTGGGCAGCAGATGTTTTCTCTTGACTTTATGAGGATGTCTGGAAGGTATCCTACTTGATGGGTGTTCTTCCACATTATGCTTTACTGCCTAGTAAGGATGTGTTAAAGGAACAACTTCACATTTTGTCTTTTTTTTTTTTTTTTTTTTTAATTTCCCTATCTAGCCTTTTAAAGCCTGCTTCCAAGACTAAATAGCTGTCTGATTCCAAAACTAAATAGCTAACAATTATTTTCCTCTCTTTTGCAGAATGCCGGAGTTGAATGCTAAATGCAAAAAAGGACAAAACCAAAATTTCCAGAACTATTTGACAGGTTTTAAGAGCTACTGACAGGGCAGCTCAGTATAGCCTTTGTCCAGAAGCCTAAGAGGGTCCTTTGCTGCTAGGTGGCGAGGTTCATCTAGTAAACCTGTATTGGAAGAGTCTGTAAATCTGCTTAAAGCATGGAGGAGATAGTTATTTCATTCTGTCATTGTTAGACAGCTTTGTCATATTTTTACTGGAAGCTCATGATTGCATAAGTGCCCAATGTTTCTTATTTGCATTATACTGTAACAGGACTTGACCCTTCAACACACACTAAATGTGACAAGCTACAGAATCTCAGTGTCTACCTCAGGGCAGCCTAAACACCCATCAAGTTAAAAAGAAAAGAGTTTTCACACCAAGAGATCCAAAAAGGTATCAAACTTGGTCTGAAGATAGAAGTTTTTCTGGTAATTATCAGTTGTACAAAAGCTCTTGCAACACAGAGTGGACTGAAGGAGTGGTAAAGAAATATGCTTTAAAAACCCTGAAAGGAAAAATGAAATGGCCAAGATGGAAGTACAAAATATGTATGCTAAAGAGGAAAAAAGAAAAACCCTGAATATTCCTTGGATAATAAATCTTTGATTGGGCTTAGGGCAATAAATTCAGTTCTTTTCTCCCTGCAATATCTAGCCATCCCCTCCATTCCATGGATAAGCACTTGTTTTAGTAGACTTGAGAGCTCCATGCCCTGTAACAAAGCCTAAATGCAAAGCAGAACTTGTTCAGTGGGAATAGATGGTTTTTATTATTATTTAACTACCACTGGCTTGCTTTTTGTTCTCAAAAGTTTGCTGTTTCTTTCTGACTTACTATCAGATATGTACAAAAAACTCTCCTTATGTCTCTCCTTCTCATTCACTGCCTCCCTTTTTCCTTTCTAAAATTTATTTTCTGTTTTCAAAATTGCTATTTAACCAAATCAACCATCTGGTACAAAAGCCTTTGAAATTAAATTATTATATCTCCAACCAAAAGTTGCACTGAAAACTATCTTGATGAATTCTGAAAGTCACAACTGTAACAAGAAATACCACTGAAATAATCACCCAGAAAATTAAATGCTCCAAAGTTAGGAAATGAGTAAATTACCAAGTACAGAGAATATAGAAAGACAGCATGAACAAAAATAGCAACATTATGTACTGTTGGTATAAAATATGACATGTTAAATAAGCTATCATATAATCCAGATATATCATTGTATATAGGATAAAATATATAACATGTATAACTATATGTAATTGTGTACATAAGAATATAAATTAARTATGTAAAATAACATATATGAAATTACATCTTTTTTTTTCTTCTGAAATTAAACTGGAAGGTTTTATGTACAGGAAAATAACATACACTTTYAGCTAACAGTTCTTGATCCTGATTTTTCTCCTAGATTGGGAACCATTTCATACGTTTCATTGCACAGTCATTCAGTTCTGATTCACTACACAGACCTGCACAGCCTCAACTGCCAGAGTAAGTTATAGTAAGAGTAGTAATTACTATACACTAATTTTGAAATATATACTAATTTTCAGAAACAATGTTGAAAAAGGAGAGAAAACATGGTTTTTCATTATGGTAGATTTCAGTTMTTATAAAATCATAGAATGGCCTGAGTTGGAAGGGACCTTAAAGATCCTTTAGTTCCAATCCCCCTGCCATGAGGGACATCTTTCCCTAGACTGAGTTGCTCAAAGTCCCATCCGGCCTGGCCTTGAAAACTTCCATGGATAGGGCACCCAAAACTTCTCTGGGCAACCTGTTCCAGAGTTTCACCACCCTCATAGTAAAGGATTTTTTTATTAATATCTAATTTAGACCTGCTCTCTTTCAGTTTGAAGCCATTTTCCCTTGTCCTATCACTATATGCTCTTTTAAAAAGTCTCTCTCCATCTTTCTTGTAGTCTCCCTTGAGGTACTGCAAGGCTGCAATTAGGTCACCCCAAAGCCTTCCCCAGGCTGTGCAATCCCAGTTCTCTCAGCCTTTCCTCATAGGAGAGATCCTCCATCCCTCTGATCAACTTGTTGACCTTCCTCTGGACTGTGTCCATCAGGTCCCTGTCCCTCCTGTGCTGGGACCCCAGAGCTGGGTKCWGTGTTCCAGGTGGGGTCTCAGCAGAGCAGAGCAGAGGGGCACAATCCCCTCCCTCCCCTGCTGCCCACGCTGCTTTGGATGCAGCCCAGGACATGTTTGGCTGCCTGGGCTGGGATTGCCCATGGCTGGGTCATGTCCAGCCTYTCACCCACAGCACCCCCAGGCCCTTCTCCCCAGGGCTGCTTCCATCTGTTCATCYCCWGCCTGTGTTGGAATCCGGGATTGCCCCAACCCATGTGCAGCACCTTGCACTTGGTCTTGTTAAATCTCGTAAGATTGCCATTTCACAAGGTT